TGGCAGTTTGAAGCCATTTCCCATGATGCACTGCTCATAAAAGTCATTCCAAAATTCTGACAGTACATCCCTCAAACCACCACCATCATCTAAAGCCTTTTCAAGCTTTCCTTAAGGAAGAATAACTTTAAAACAAATGTGTAGCCGGGCTGGAGCTACCTCCGCGGGTTCTTGGGAAGGGCACTTGGACACAGCAGTTTGAAGGGAGAAAATCCCGTGGAGGCCTGGGGAACCTCGCGTACTGCAAACAACAGAGGATCAAGCCATTTATCTCGACTCAGTTCATCGTCGTGAATTAATTTACGAATCATAGATTTTAAGATAGATAGATACTTTATTGATCCCTCAAGAGGGACCATCAATTCGTATCACTTGGTCGAAGGCCAAGCATAGAGTATCATCACGAGACTGTTCCAGTGGAAAATCTTCCATTTAGCGTAATTCGGGAACCAGTGGAGTCTCCATAGGGGGCTCCGCCGGTTCCCCCTCCCCGTCTGCAGTGTCGGACAACCTTGCGTCACCACTGAGCACCGCACACATCCCGCATGTCCCTGTCGATTGTGAACGCACCCCCGCGCACTGCCCCGCTAATTTATTAAACCCTGACCAATCTGTCCCCAAGATTAGGGGGTGCATAAGGCAGGAGCTAACCGCGACCTTCACTTTATTCTTTTTACCCGTGAATCTAATCTCTATTGGCACCACTGGGTAGTCGTGAATATCCCCATGCACACTCACGCGCGATGCCTCCACCAATGCCCCGGGTCGATCCAGCCTCTGGTGAATCATAGACTGCGTGCAGCCCGAATCCACCATCGCCTGATGTGTACCCCCCTGGATCCTTACCGGAACACAGTATATCACTCCTGGACCGGGGGAGGGTGTTGGAGGCCCGGCAACCCGCACCGTCTGGCCCACCTCCATCAGCAGGCACTCCCGCCGGTAGTGTCCGGATTGCCCGCGTCTCCAACACTCCTGCCCTGACGGTTGAGGAGCCCTCTGTAGGTCCGGGAGAATGCCGGTCAGGCCTGAGGGATTGGTAACACGTGGACGGGCTAGTGGTTGCGGTATCAGCAGGGGCCGAGCCACGACCGGCTGCTGGGACGTCCTGGCTGTGCTGACGCGGTCGGCCGACCGCCCTCTCCCTGCCCGCCAGGATGAACCGCCAGGTGGTCCTCAGCGAGGGTGACGGCAGCCTCCAGCGTTGCCGGCCGATGGTAACAAACCCAGGCAGAGGTCCGTGGCGGCAGACCCTCCAGGAACTGCTCCACCACCTGTTGGCCGCGTCCTTGAGCCTCTGGCCGAATGCGAATGGGCGGTCCCCTGGCGCCAGCCTCGCCTCTGGAAACTGCCTCTTGTTGTCCTCGGGGGAGAGCCCTAGCCGGTACATGATGGCCCTCTTTATGTCAGTATAGATGTGTCTGATTCAGGGTGGCAGGCCCAGGGCGGCTGTCTGCGCCTCCCTGATCAGGAGTGGCAACAGGCGGATCGCCCACTCGTCCACTGGCCATGCACACACCCCCACCATCCCCTCGAACATCTCGAGGTACGATTGTACCTAGTCCGCCGGGGTCATCTTGTGCATCACCACCCCCGCGTAAGCCGGGGAACTCGGCGCCGGCGGAGCAGCAACTGGCCGGGCTGCCAACTGCTCCAACACCTGGGTCTGTCAATCCGACTGAGCCTGCAGCGCCCCCAGGAAGTGCCGGTTGGACTCGCTGGATTGCCGCGATCTCCCCCAGCATTCGTTTGAGCATGACAGCCGGCCGCGTCATTCCCTCTCTGTGATGTTCGTTTAAGTCCATCCTTGGTCAGGCGCCACTGTAGCCAGGCTGGAGCTACCTCCGCGGGGTCTTGGGACACTCGAACACACACACGGGATGGAGTAACAACAGACTTTTTTATTTTATAATGGTTTGATCGCTCGTCGCCTCCGCTCCTCGGCCTCCCCCCTTAGCGTCTGTCTGCGTCTCTTGCTCCAAGTCCTGCTCACTGTTTATATCAAGGAGACGCTCAGTCAGGATGACTTTCAGCTGTGCTTATTACTCCCCCGCTCCACCCTCTGCAGCTGAGCTAACCACACCCCGCCACCACAAAATGTTATCTTCCATGATACTTTCCTCAGAAACAACTAGAAGAAGTTCTTAGAATCTGTCCACGATGAAGAACAATAACTTTCTTCACTCTTTCTCTCTGACTGGCTTGGTCCTGCAACACATCCACGGGAGGAAGCAAAGCTGATGCAAAAGATATCTCCTCAGAGAGAGCCATGGTGTCATCAAGAGCAGAGTACTCAATCCCAGACGTGCTTTCTGTGTGGAAGGTTACTATGCCACTATCCTCTAAAGCAGTGGTTCTCAACTGGTCTGCCTCCGGGACACACCATCAGCCCTCAATGACAAGCCGCGACCCAAATCGAGGAACATTGTCAACTTCTCAAATTTATTTTATGAAAATATGGTGCAGTTTGAACCTGAGATAGTATGGAGACAGTACGTAGGCCAACACAATACAGTACGTAGGCCAACACAAAAACAAGTTTAATGAAAACAGCCAGCTGGTAGCGATGCTAGAGAGGGAACTATTCCCCTTTACACTAAATTAGCTAAAAAACCCAAAGTATATCTTAAGGACACAAAGTATTACAACATACATAACAATTAAGAATCTTCAGCCATTTCAAACAAACTCAACAGCTTTCATGCACAAACAAAAAAGTCGAAAAGACACAAATGACCTAACTTTAACAGATCTACGACAAACACTATGTCTTGAGGAGCAGCTTTTGCACAAATTCAAAATAAATTACATAAAATGTTCAATTCAAAAGGATTCAGATATACAAAATGAACGTTTCTTGTGATTACCCCATCAGGAGGTAAATCCTGAAAAACATTGTGCTTTACAGAAAATTAAGCATCACTCACTTCAACCTTAGGTGAAAACTGACAGACTTGAGTCTGGAGGAATTTCTAATGGGAGAACTGGGGATGTTTTTTGCTCTTGGCAAGAGTCTCAAAGTCTGGAGTTATAGTTGACAAGGCCAGTCTGAGGTCATGCTCAATGTCCAGTCTATTCCTGTGTTTAGTCTTCCGCTGAACCAGAGCTGAGAAGCCACACTCACAGAGATACGTAGTGCTGAAGGGTAGCAGGACTTTTACTGCTCGAGTGGCGAGGGAAGGACACTCGCTGATCACGCTGCTGCACCAGAACTGGAAGAGGCTTACCTCCATGAATTTATTTTTCAGCGTACATCACATGACAGCTCCATCAGCTGACTCTTCGTTGTTTGGCAATGTGACACTTTCTATGTCGATTCCAAACGGGTCATTTATCCAGTCGTCATCCCTCTGTTTCTCGGGAAAGTAGTCATTAAACCGCTCCAGAAGTTTATTCAGATGCGTTGTGATTGTTTTCTCCATTACATTCTTGTCTGCCGTGCCAGAATGGTTTGACCCAACCTGGCACACGCTGCTGAAAACATGGACGGATGGCCGGCAAAAAAAACGACACTCCGCTCCATTAAAAAAGTCCCTTCAAAATAACTAGTGACTAGTGTCGCGACCCACCAGTTGAGAATCACTGCTCTAAAGCATCCAAATTATGTAATGTGGTATGTTCTGACAAAGTAGATGCATCAGTATGGTTGACTGTGGTGTAAAGAAGGGACGTACTCTCATCGCTTGCATTTGCAAATTCTGTGCTGCTTCCAAGATAAACGACATCGGAAACATTTATCTCCACATCGTCTGTTGCAGAAGTATTTGGAGAGTGATGATAGAGAGCAGATCTGTCATTTGTCTCTTCCCCTTTTTACTCAGTGGTATCACCGGTCCCCTCCTCAAGATGGATGTCATTGACAATGTCTTTCTTCTTGGTTGTTAAATAGAAACGCAAGAGAGGTAACTTAACTGAATGCTTCAAAGCATTCCAACAATAAAGATTCGAAGAACAGTACTTGGAATGCTTAATGCTTAATGCATTCCAACAATTAAAGATTCGAAGAACAATACTTGGAATGCTTCAAAGCATTCCAACAATAAAGGTTCGAAGAAGCATTCCAACAATGACAGAAAACACTAAAGAAAACAAAAAAAGCTGGAGGACTGGGGGGGCAATGGCTGACTTACGTGCGTGCAACAACTACGACGGGAGGACAACAGGATGGTTAATAGATATGCACATGGATGCATTCCTGTCGGTTTCCTTCAGAGTTTGAAGTTCTGTAGCTCCATCTGGTGTTGGACTGTCGTACATAAAGGTTATTCCAACCTTCACAGGCTCTATTAGAGTATATATTTACTTTCCAAAGAAAAGCCAGTGAAAAGTGTTGAAATGGGCCAACATGATGGACCCATTTGGTCCCATAAGTTGGAAAATGCAAAAATCCAAAATGATTTCTTCTCCTCAGTTGATGTGAACGAACAGAGAAAAAACTTTGGCCAAGGACTGTTAGAGGAAATGTTACTAGTTGCTCAATGATTGTTGGAACATGGCGCAGAGCAGTTTAGTCACAAAATCAGTAGTTTGATCCCCGTGTCTGCCAGTTTATATGACTACTGAATTATTGTGTTGGTTGTATAGTACTGCGGTTAAGGTTATTTGTATGCTGTTGGTAGTAAAATAAAAAACAATGCATGATATTCTGTTATACGATCATTTATGACCCAACAAGGTAAAAACAGTTAAAATTAAATGTACTAGATGAAAATTTAAATTTTTTTAAAGTAAAACTACAGATCATTGCCGTTTTGCTCTGCTGAATACAATTTGTATGCCTATATATTTTATTCCATTTGGGGACAATTGCAAAGATTTGTCTCCTAAATCCATTGACGCTGCGGTTCTTTTAACCATGAATCATTCATCAGGCTACCTGAGGACCACGGCCAAGAGGAAGCATTCAGTCAGCTGATACCGAGGGGAGAAGCAACCATCCAAACATAGGACACACCGGTACTCTGCTGCTGTGCCGCTTCCCAGTAAGTTTGCTTATGCACCCTTACTACTTCTTTTGTGACATTAACTTACGAAGAGCATCTTATTGCTGCAGGGGAAAAAAGGGGGCATTTACGGTTCCCTCTTTAAGATATTTAACAGAAGAAGAAAGTGATTTCCCCACATTTGAGACGCAAGCTGTCGTCATGCTGCCGGCTCAGGAGGCCGCCAAAATCTACCACACCAACTACGTGCGTAACGCACGGGCCGTGGGCGTGCTGTGGACGGTATTCACAATCACCTTTGCTGTCATCACCGTGGTGGTGTTCATCCAGCCCTACTGGATCGGGGACAGCGTCAACACGCCACAGGCGGGATACTTTGGCCTCTTTCACTACTGCATCGGGAACGCACTCACCTCAGAGCTCACCTGCAAAGGGAGCGCGCTCGACTTTGGCTCCATCCCTTCCGGCGCGTTTAAGACAGCCATGTTCTTCGTGGGCATCTCCATGCTGCTGGTGGTGGGCAGCATTGTGTGCTTCAGCCTCTTTTTCTTCTGCAACGCGGGCAGCGTCTACAAGATCTGCGCCTGGATGCAGTTGGCCTCCAGTGAGCAGCCGGGGGTTTCATCGAGTCAAGTTTTTAGCTTTGTAATGGAAGTTGACAAAATATGGCAGTTTGTATGATTTGTATAAAAATATGTAAACTCGAGCGTCACTGCTTAGATTGAATTATGAAAAGGCTATAAGCATTTAAATCCTACAGTATTGGAACTATACAAAACTGCATGCAAAATTATGGTTTGCATATTGGTTTATCGATGAGTTACTTTTCATGTCTTAACACACAGCATCTTTTTATTATCACACTACTGAGGAGCCACACATACTTGAAGAACATTTACCCTTTGAAATTGTGCCCCATTTTACACCCAAAGCACAGACCAAAGTATGTTGAAGTTTTGGAATTCGATATTCATTATTTAAGTCTTGAATGACTTCAGCAACACTTAAACAAATACAAGGACCTCCTAAATGACAGCAAACCTGTGGCAAGCAGTGAATGTGCTGACGCAGTAAAATTTTACTAAATTACCTTCATGCATGGTAACACAGGGACCCAGGAAAGTCAGCCCAAATGAACAGTTCCTCCTAGTAGCTTTGTGTTTAGTTATTCTTAGTTAACCATGTAATTTAAAAAACACATTAGTTAGAAGTATTATACAGGAATAAGACTTGTGCTGAAAATTTCTTTCTAGCAACAGTCCAGCAGTTCTCTTTAACATGTGCGCACACACAGAAAGAAACATGATCCTCTGGTTGAAACCTGAAGCAGCTTGTGAACAGATGTAGCTGCAAGTGAAAGGACAAGTCCAATGAAACAAATAATGAGATTATCTTGAAGGTGTGCGTTACACTTTCTCCCCTTCCTTCCCCTCACACCTGCCGCTCAGTGTGCGATCCAACTAATGTAATGCTTTTACGTCTGTCAAGGTTTTCCCAAGTGCTCAAGTGAAAGGATACTTCCCAATAGTAGCCAGTGGCCAGCTAAGGGGGGGATCAAGGGCCGCGTGGCATTCAGCCCACAGTGTCTTTTATTCTCTATTGTTACACTGCACACACATAACAATCCCTGCAGACAAAGACAGATGCAATATTTTATCAGATTATCAGATAGTAGTTACCTATGGAAAATTAAGATGTGTAAAAAGTATTTAACAATTTATCATTTATGTTCATCGGATTAAACAATAATTGATGAACCGCAGAGGAGAATGAATGTTTGATGATCATCTCTATTGAAACTAGAGGGCTGTGAGTTTATGTCACCTGCTGTTTCTTATTTGAAAGGCATGGTTTCTGTTGACACCCATCAAGCAAGTTGCAAGCTTCCGAGCAAACACATCTTTCTCTCCCTTCAGTATAGAAACCACTGCTATAGGGGATAAACTGGATAAAGAGAATGCGCTTTGAGAATGTGAAAAGTGTCTTTGAGGCCAAGCAAGGGAAAGTGTGTCTGTGTTCTAACGTTTCTTCTCGTCACCGGATAGTTCCCGTGGCTCCTCATGCCGAGGTGGGACGGCAATAGGGCAAGACTTAATAATGGATGAACAGGTTCTTACTACTGGAGTTGAGATGCCGTGCAATTACAAGGCAACTAACTTGCGTTTATGTGTGCGTGTACTTGAATGAGAAGAGTGTATACTTAATTTCTCTGGTGGCTTCTCTGTAATAATGTCTTATTTCAGTGTTGGAGGTGGAGAAGGTGGTAAACAGAAGCCTAATGTGTTTTTACCAGTTCATACTTCATTATAACTCTTTTTAGACAGTCGGTTATGGAGGAAAGATTGATATCATGTAAAATGATCAATACCAGACCATGACAATACTCCATTTCAAATCCTGAATTTAAAATATTACTAGAATTAATATAATCAGTGCTTAATATAAAAGATGCCCCCGGCGAGATACGTTACTATGATTAAAATTCATGGTCCATTTATGTGTAAGCAGTAAGTAGGTAAAGCAAGCTGCTATATATATTTAATGTTTGTTTGGTTTTTACAACTTAAAAACTAGTTAAATGGTACAAAACATCTACAGAGCCTAAAGTAACACCTTCGCGGTGTTGGTTTTGTCCAACCAACACTAACAACTAACAACATTTTGGATAATTTTAACTACTTAAATGAAGAGTGATAAATCAGAGTTCCAGCGTTACAATCCTTGAAAGTATTTGAACACATGCACTAAACTTTCAACAGCTAAGAATGAGTGCTGAAGCCAAAGTACCTGATGGTTTGAATCCAAAAATTCTCATCCTGTGCCTCCCTCCCTCTCGCTCTCTCAGGCACTTGCATGGTTATTGGCTGTATGATCTATCCCGATGGCTGGGACTCCGATGAGGTGAAGCGCATGTGTGGCCAGCGGACCGACAAATACACCCTGGGCAACTGCACGGTGCGCTGGGCCTACATCCTGGCCATCATTAGCATCATGGACTCGCTGATCCTCTCCTTCCTTGCCTTCAGCCTGGGCAGCCGGCAGGACAATCTGCTCCCAGAGGACTTCCAGGTGGAGAGCAAAGGTATCAGAGTGAAGAGAGTAAAACAGTGGGGTGATGGAGGAAGACGAAGGCTGGAGGAGGAAATTTTGTTGAAAAGATTATAAAAGCTGGAGGACAGGGAGTTAGCAGGAGGAAAGTTAAAGGTCTCAGAGGGTCGGGTGTTAAGTCCTGGAGGGACAACGGAATGAAGTGAAGCAAAGGCTTGGAGCCTCAACTGTCCAAGCACCTCTGCATAAAAGATTCCCCAAATGATGAACTATAATACTTCTGATCCCCTGACTATCATCTAGGACAGTCACTGAGTTCAAGGCAAATTACTTTGTAGTTACAGCCATTAAGCAAATGTCAGCATACGTAGCCTTGCAAAAGTATTGACCCCCCTTGGTGTTTTTCTTTTTTTGTTGCCTTACAACCTGGAATTAAAATGGATTCTTTGGGGGTTGTATCATTTGATTTACACAACATGCCTACCGCTTGATGCAAAATATGTTTTATTGTGAAACAAACAAGAAATAAGACAAAAAAACGGAATACTTGAGCGTGCATAACTATTTCACCCCACCAAAGTCAATACTTGGTAAAGCCACCTTTTGCAGCAATTGCAGCTGCAAGTCGCTTGGGGTATGTATCTATAAGCTTGGCACATCTAGCCACTGGGATTTTCTGCCCATTTTTCAAGGCAAAACTGGTCCAGCTCCTTCAAGTTGGATGGGTTCCGCTGGTGTACAGCAATCTTAAAGTCATACCACAGATTCTCAATTGGATTGAAGTCTGGGCTTTGACTAGGCCATTCAAAGACATTTAAAAGTTTCCCCTTACACCACTCGAGGGTTGCTTTAGCAGTATGCTTAGGGTCATTGTCCTGCTGGAAGGTGAACCTCCGTCCCAGTCTCGAATCTCTGGAAGACTGAAACAGGTTTCCCTCAAGAATTTCCCTGTATTTAGCGCCATCTATCATTCTTTCAATTCTGACCAGTTTCCCAGTCCCTGCCGATGAAAAACATCCCCACAGCATGATGCTGCCACCACCATGCTTCACTGTGGGGATTGTGTTCTCGGGGTGATGAGAGGTGTTGGGTTTGCGCCAGACATAGCGTTTTCCTTGATGGCCAAGAAGCTCGATTTTAGTCTCGTCTGACCAGAGTACCTTCTTCCATATGTTTGGAGAGTCTCCCACATGCCTTTTGGCGAACACCAAACATGTTTGCTTATTTTTTTCTTTAAGCAATGGCTTTTTTCTGGCCACTCTTCTATAAAGCCCAGCTCTGTGGAGTGTACGGCTTAAAGTGGTCCTATGGACAGAAACTCCAATCTCCACTGTGGAGCTTTGCAGCTCCTTCAGTGTTATCTTTGGTCTCTTTGTTGCCTCTCTGATTAATGCCCTCCTTGCCCGGGCTGTAAGTTTTGGCACGCTCTTGCCAGGTTTGTTGTGGTGTCATATTCCTTCCATTTTTTAATAATGGCTTTAATGGTGCTCAGTGGGATGTTCAAAGTTTTGGATATTTTTTTTATAACCCAACCCTGATCTGTACTTTTCCACAATCTTGTACCTGACCTGTTTGGAGAGCTCCTTGGTCTTCATGGTGCCGCTTGCTTGGTGGTGTTGTAGGCTCTGGGGCCTTTCAGAACAGGTGTATATATACTGATATATAAGTCCACCTGTGTGCAATCTAACTAATTACGTGACTTCAGAAGGTAATCGTTTGCACCAGATCTTATTTAGAGGCTTAATAGCAAAGGGGGTGAATACGCACCACTTTTCCGTTATTTATTAAAAAAAAAAACCTGGAGTTATGTTTTTCATTTCACTTCACTAATTTGGACTATTTTGTGTATGTCCATTATATGAAATCCAAATAAAAATCCATTTTAATTCCGAGTTGTAAGGCAACAAAATAGGATAAACGCCAAGGGAGGTCCATACTTTTGCAAGGCCCTGCATATTTTAACTGCTTTTTACACAACATTTTTCTCTCAATTACAGATAATGCCTAGACCTGATGTCGATAACTGAGGCAAGAGATGGACGAGGCTTTATGAGGAGCAAAATCGACGCAAGGGATTCAAATGTATTCTTGGGCTGCGGGAAAGTTAATTACTATCTAAAAATAACTAATAAAGAAGTTGGTCTTTCCCTTGGAATTGTGACAGCTGATCTACGTGTTTTGCAATAAAAGGATTGTTAAATGATTAGCAGGCATATTCTACGTGGCACCATTAAACATTCAGCAATAATAAAATAAGCTCCAAAAGGAGCTCAAAATAAACTGGGATCATGGATGGGTTTAGTACTCTGAAGATAAAATGTGACTATCTGCAAAGTGTGTGTTCTGATGATGCATTATGTTAATGATAATGACAATCTTCAAGGATTTATATCCCTGCATATTTGTGTGTCAGAGGTTGGAAACACTGCAGCGAAGAATATCAGTTAGTTAAATTCCGAAAAATTATTTTTATTAACAGCAGAAAATGAAACTATCAAACGAAGAGTGGAAACATGGACAGAAGGAGAAGACTTCGTAGAAAAGCAAAATGGTTTTGAGAAGAGTCAAAGCATTATCACAGCATCTGTTTTTAGTGCAATCTATTTTCAAACCAAACACCTCCATGTGCAGTGGAAACACGTAATACAGACTGGATATCACCTGAACATTCCTCAAGGGATTGCCACAAAGGGTAAAAAAAACAGATCAAACATTATGCCGTCAATATTTAGAGCAGTATGGTGACAAAAAGTCTTTGGTGCACTGCACACTGGGCGTGGCCCCGCATTTTGTTTGATTGGACTGATAATGTAGGAACGATAATATGAAGCAAATGTGTGATCCACGTAGACAACATCAGAATCTTTTTCACATTATATTTAAGTGCTTTTTAAAAATGCATGTACAGTCTCCATGAAACTAGTAGTAATAATAGAAAAGGAGATTACACAGTTGGGTTTTCCTTAAAAATAATGTGTGATTTATGATGTCCTGAGTGGAAATGTATGCTTTCTGATCATGTAGTTCTTATACAAAAGGTACAAAAGCTTTGAAGGTTGATGCTAACTTAACAGTGCTGTTAGCGTTACACACTTAATATTTAGCACACACAAGCCGACTGGTAAGCTAAAAAGACAGATTTGTCTTAATAATGACCTAAGTGATGACCAGTATGTAGTTTTGATACCACGGCACCAATGTGCTGGAAAAAAAGAGCTGGAAACTGGAAAATATAAAAAAAGAGGGCGAAGTCAATAAGTCCTACACAGCCAGAAAAAAAAGAGCCATAACTACAGGAGGAAGACCATACGTTTATTCTATCACCAGCGTAATCCAAAAGGGGGCCAAGACTTAGCAGCAATCTCTTTACACTATGTTCATGGGTGTATGTGTGGGAAGCCTCCGAGAGCCATGACATGAGAATGCAGCCCCAGGGCCTCACACATAAACGTGTTTGTTTACTTGCATGTTTTCAAGCCCAGGATCTCCAAACTTAATTTATCTCTTCACAAGATGAGGGTGGAGGCGTGCACGGCTGGCATCTAGGACGTGAGCCATGGATGGGAGAGGCACTGGGCCGCAGTGGCCCTCCTCTCAGGCACCAAGTCCAGCATGGGCAGCAGGAAGGTGCTGAAGGTGTGCGCCTCGTCTTTGGACCACTCGTACTTTTCCATCAGCACGTCTAATAAACCCCACGGCTTCAGCTTGGTGATGTGACGCAGTTCGCCTAAGAGATGAGGTTACAGTTTAATAATTACTGTGCTGAATGTTATAGTATTGCCTAATAAGGAAGCATGATTGATGTTGTACATAAATACAGTGCAAGAGTGTTTTTTCGGCTGGGATAAATCCACAACACTGAACTGGAAATGGGCGCACTAAACGTAATTTGCAAAACTCGCCCTCAGACTGAGCAGATGGCTGTTCCCTTTAGCCATCAGGTGCTCCTTCAGAGAAAACCTTTGCACAAAATAACGGAGCATATTTTGAGGAGGAACTGGATTTAGGCAGACAGCTGGTGGCAGGAAGGTTGTGTTTACCTTTCTTGGTGAAAAACTCCTTTGAGTATTTGCCTGCCGAGATCAGCTTCCGAGGAACTTTTCCTAGCAGCTCGATGATGAGCGCTATGTGATCTACAAGGAGACATTGAGACAAGCAAACACAGCTGATGAACAGAATGTCTGAAGTCCACAACTTCCCATGTTGACCCGGCATTCACACTCATGTCAGAGTCTATTAGGGTAACTCGTTAAAAATAAACGTCAGGACACTGACCTTCATCTCTGGAGTAGTCTTCTCCAGAATGGGGCTCAAACAGATAATCTCCGGTGGCGAGCTCGAAGGCCTGTGATAAAACAAATGAATATTAATCATACATACAATTAATAACTGGCACATGTATGCGTTTAGTCAAATACAATCAATGTAGTCATTGAGAAAACACAGTGTGTTTTGAATGACAAATGAACTTGCTCGGTAACAAGCGTCAGGCTTAAAGCCTTTGCTCAGGGTCAATGATATTTAGGTTCAAATCCTCAGTAGTTCTGCAGGAGTCTGTCTGTTTTACCATGCAGGCTGTGCTCCAGATATCTGCTGGTGTGCTGTAGCCGGTTCCTGTCAGCACCTCAAGAGAACGATACTGCCGCGTCTGGATGTCATCTGTGAAATGTTTGTTCTGTGGGTAGAAGAGAAATTCTCAATTCTGGGCAGCGAGTCATAATTGAGCAGGTTTCACAAAAAAATATTAAAGTTCAGACCATCTTCAGGGACATATATATATATATATATCTTTTAAAGGTGCATCAAGACTTCTTCATTGCTAACGCAAATCTGCACTCACCACCCAGCAGGCGTTACCGAGGTCAGCGATCTTCACCTGAAGCTTGTCAGCGTTAAGAGGCTCCAGGGGGTTTACCAACATATTGCCTGAGGCTGCTGTGGAAGAGAGTAGAGGGACACAGGAACACTGGAGGGTGAGGTGCAGAAGCAGGCAATAAAGAGCAGACAAATATAGAAACACGGGAGACTACCATGTCGAAGATTCTGAAGATTTATTTTTTACTGTCAGTTTGATTAATTAGATATTAAAGCAAATGTTGCATGTGCAGTAATTATTATAAAAACGTGATGCCATATATTCTGCACAAAAGAAAGTGTTTTGTTATAATGGTAGGAGAACACTGCAGTACGGTATCATCATTCGGTATACACACTGTATCATCCTACATGTGGTGGAACTAACCATCTTTGCAGTCTTCCTCCCCTTTTTCAGTCTCAACTTGAGTGTCTATCTCCTTCCTATTCTTGTCCTCCTCGTGTCCCGCCTTCAGCTCTACAGTGACAGACTCTGGGACGAGAGAGGCAGGGGTGTCCTTGTGTGAACCGTTACAGGTCTGACGCTCTTTGTTGCTTAATGTGCTCTGGGTCTCTGTGTTACTTTCTGGCTGGTTTGCATTCTGTTGGTCCTCCAGCTCCTCTGTTGACTGCTTGGTCCCTTGTGCCTCTGGACTGGTCCCGCCCTCCGGTGGGGAAGCGTGACCATTGCATTTGACCATCCCCTTCTCGGGCACCATCTCACTCCGCTCATTTACCTCTGGTATCTGCTCATCGGGAGTTGAGTCTGCAGTAAAAGAACAAGAGTTTGTAGAATGACAGTACAATAAAACCATTTGGTCTATGATTTGGAGCAGGTATCTGCTGTCCTTCATCTCAATGACCTGTAATAGTATAGTCAGCAATGTCCTGCAGCGTGGCGGACATTGAGAGGGTGGCTGCCAAAGTCGAATCTTCGGTGGCCTCTGTTGTTATTGTTGTTGTTGTTATCTCCTCCTTCTCCTCCTCTTCCTCCTCCTCCTCTCCTCCCTCGTTAGCTTCTACTTCCATCTCCTGGATCCTCTTCTCCAGCATCTCTGCCTGCTTCTTCTGCTTCTTTTTCATCTTCTTCTTTTTGTTCTTTGACATTTTGGTCGTCTTGGAAAAGAGAATAATGTGGAGAAAATAAAGAAAATACGTCAGCTTGTAGTTGGGCTCAACTTTTATTCAAGTCCCTCGATCTGTTAAAAAACAGAACCCTACTTACCGGTTTTGGTGCTGGGGCTGTGCTTACTGTCGGAGAAAAACATTTTATGTGATTACTTTACTGAGCGACATATGGGGCATTTTACTCTACAATTAGTATTTGGTCCGGATGGTCGGTTGATTCACACAGAGCTGTAGTAATAGACCGCCACAGCAGGAGTCACACACTCCTCTGGGCGAGTTGGTAATTTACATAACCGAACCAGTGCTGACTCATACTGACACACAGCGAAGCATCCCGCTGTAATTACAAACTTCCACATGCCTTAAAGTTTCACAAAGCTTACGTCTCTTTCACACAAGTATAATTCAGTTGTAATGATGGCAGTCCTTGAAGATAATGGTTCACGCATATTGTGTGAACCACTGCGTAAGTGCAGTCAGTCAGTCAAACAATCGAAAGCATTGGACCTGCTGAACCTTCCTCCATTGGCAACGTGCCAATTAAACCACAGAATTCGCTTACTGAAGTGCTGAGGAAAACAAAAGTTGTAACCTGCAGAACCCGACGGAGGCGCGGCGCCAGTCTTCTGCCACTGAGTAGCTTCAGCGGCCATTTTCTTGATGTAGGACTCGTTGACGGTCAGCAGAATGTTTTCTGGTTTGATGTCGGTGTGGATGATCTTGCACTTGGTGTGGAGGTAGTCTAACCCCTGCAGAACCTGCAGAGCACACAAGTCCCACCATCACAATTCCTAGGATCTTACACGGGAATAAGCTGAATATTTCAAATGTGTTTACCTTTAAAAAATCAGCTGAGACAGATTATTATTTTTTACTGTTTTGAAATAATGTAATTAACGTTCTAATTGAGACTACACTCAAACCAAAGTGACATTTACAGTCAGTTTTGGTGTAGCTGTGCATTACCTGCCGTATGATGGTTTTAACGCAGGGCAGAGGCAGGCCTTGATAATTCGACTTGATGATCCACTTCAGCAGGTGGTAACCCAGCACCTCAAATACCATGCACACATCTGAAGAAATACACGGTCAAGGACTCGTACAATACTATTCTCTCAATCTACAGTAGAGCTAAGACTATGACACTCATCCTCATACACTCCGTTTAGGGCTGGGTGGTATACTGGTTCAACCAGTTTAATGGTTATAACCATTTTCACATTCAAATAGTTATATCGTATATTCGAATATAGAATATTCGTTGACAGCCCTACAGCTCGCCCGCTATCACACCAAGAAGAAACTACGTTGCTACATGAAAACACAAAAGAGCGATTCAGGAGGAACAACGAGACTGTGAAGGAACTGTGTGCTGTTTGGAGGGTTTTGAAAAATAAGCCGTAAGTTTGATCACAAAACAATTTAATGTAAAGTTGTTCGCGCCACTGGTGTTGCCTGTGGTGGCAACACTAGCAGCCACAACAGCTGACACGCTAACAATCTAACTTGCTGGCCAGAATCTTACAAAATACCAGGCCATGTATTTTTTGCCATACCGCCCAGCCCCAAGTCAGTTTCACATATTTACCCATCAGTACATGGGGTCTTTCTGCGCTCACATGACTGACAATAACTTTCCCAGGGACACACTTGAAATTGAAATTCCATAACCTTTCAAAAAGGTTCACCAGAGGCTGTCTGGGCTGGCCGCCTGAGTGCACAGCTGTGGACTGCACATTGTGTGATGGACAGGAATGGAGCAAGTGTTGATACATGCACTGTGACACTCAAATACATGCCAAGGCATGAACATCTCTGAACCACTAATAGCTGGGAAGAGCGGGAGTACATCAGGAAATTGCTGGACGCTGTAGACAGCCAAATTACTGGCACTCAAAATTGTAATTCAGTCAGAACTCTGGATGAGAAATTCTTCGCTTTTAAAAGAAATGCAGACAAATGTGGACTTTAAGCACAATACCAGGCAGGAGCTGAATGAAAGCCTGGTCTGAGGTCATGCATTTTTATCCTTGGATGGTTGGTCAGGAATGAGTAATTAGTATGTCCAATTCATCCCATTGACACAGCAAGAGAAGAGATAATGGACGGACTCCAAGAATTTAAGTAGCTGATGTTGCATTGTTCCCTAACTTTAAAGAACGACGGCACCATCTACAACGTTACCTGTTGGCTGACAAAGCCATAGATCACTATGCACCATTTAAATTAAGGACACACTTCAGCTCATCAAGAAGAAGTTGCTTGATTAAACCTGTACCTTGACCAAAATGTGACATCAAAAGTTTACAATGATATTGAATGCATCGTTACAATTGGATGTGTGAAATTGAAAATAGGATTTCTGTATTTTAGGAACACATTCTTTTCTAAAACAACAAAAGGATACGAGTGCCATTAATTCCGGAAATTTTGAAGTCGTCCAGAAGCTGCACCACTTTCTCTCTGTTGGGGTCACTAGAATCTGTGTTTCTCACCTGGAAAACACACGAGGGTTGTGAAAGTAGCAGACGACAGAATCTGAGGACTATGAGCCAGTGTGTGAATGTTTATGTCACGCGGACAGTGTGGCTTACAGATTTAAGCAGCTTAATCTCATCCAGAGCGGTCTCGGTGTAATGCTCAGCACTTTTTACAACCTTCATGGCCACAAAGCGCTTCTCCCTAAAAAGAAAAAAATGGATATAACTCAACCAAATCAACTTTTTAAGAGGACAGAATAAGAAATTACAATGCTCTGTGTAATGTGTGCATGTAGATGCAGCGCTGGTCTGGTCTAGTCGAAGAACCGTGCCACAGACAGTTTGTAATGCTACTTGCTTTTGCGCATATACGTCATAGTTTAATGGAAGAAAACTAGCCATTCTAACTACAATTAGACATTCAGTTCCCAGATATAGGGTCGTCATGGCGCAGGGGGTAGAGAGGGTGCGCTGGGAACCACAAGGTTGGTGGTTCGAGTCCCGGCTGCCCCATGTCCCATGTGAAAGTGTCCCTGAGCAAGACACCTAAAAAATGTAATGTAAGTCGCTTTGGATAAAAGCGTCAGCTAAATGACCTGTAATATAATATAGCCAGAATGTATTGATACATTGTTTCATAACCACATTTTGTACCACAGAGACAGTTTTATCTATGAGATTGTTGATTCAGGCTCTTTAGATTGAACGTTGACATTCAATATGTATGGACAGCCCTACTGTGAAATACATCACATACTTATGCATGTAAACAGTGATGTTAAGAGCTCCATACACAATTTTACCCTTGCAGTTTGGTGAAATTCACTCAGGTCCTTTGCAAGTAAAGTTTAGCAGAAATACTTACTGGATGTCCCAGGCCAGCCACACAGTGGAAAAGTGCCCCCAGCCCAGCTTTCGGATCACATGGTATCTCCCAAAGAAGAGATCTCCAATCTTCACATGGTGATATCCACCTGACCCAGATGCACAAAAAAAACATGTTAAGTCGTATTTGAACACATTTAAAATTGATAAAATATGACAATTAAAAAGATACCATTTCTGTCATTGTACCGGTACTATGTATTATTATCCTTGATAGATATATACACACACACACACACACACACACACACACACACACACACACACACACACACACACACACACACACACAACTCGTACCCCTGCAGTAGTCGTTGGGGTCCTCCTGCTCATCGTCATCAGAGCCCAGGATCTCCTCATCCTCCTCTGGGAGCGGAGAGTCTGCCTTGCTGGTCTGACAGCCGCCCCCACGACCATGGGCCTCTTGTCTGGGTAGGGAGAACAGGCGAGAAGGGCATTAATGGAGAGAAGAAATCAAAGAGCAAAGGGAAGGAGACAGTGGAAAAAGGGGTTAAAGACGACCAAGAATAACAGAAATCATGACATGGACATAATACCCCTTTTTCAAAAAAACATAAAAGATGTGTACTTGAATATATAAGCTGTAGGGGTGGGAATCTCTTGGCACCTCACGATTCAATTCAATTCCGATTCAGAGGTCAACGATTCGATTCTAAACCAATTATCGATTCTAAACTGATAAAACGATTATCGATGCATCTCGATTTTCTAAATTTTCTCAAATCTGAGTTTGCTACTCAGAGGTTGCTAATCACTTCCTACTTTATTTGATAATTAAAGAAAATCAACAGATGAATTACCTTCTCTAATTTTTTATAAGACAAAAAAAAAAATCTTTGTCACAAATATGATTTTCTATCAACAATGCAAGAACCAATGCAGCTTGCAATTCAACACAATATGAAAGCCTATGTAAAAAATAAACAGATTCATTTTTCTTTTAAATGAAGAGAAAGCTGCTCTTAGTCTCAGACCGGTCCGTATTTGTAAAATACCGGAAAAAAGTCCAAATCTGTGAATATCTGGCCAACTTTCAATACGGATCAACTTTTTGGAAAATTGAAATAATGAGGTAAGATATGCGCAGGCTCCTTCATAGTTTGGTAAAGTTGGCAAGAGATTCAGACTGACGGACCGGTCTGCGAGCTGGACGCATTGCTCTTAATGTGCCGGTAATGATGGTAAATCATGGTTGTAGCTGGTTGTCTTCTACAGTCCACTACGATTACCGAAGGGGGGCGTTTATTTTTTGACAACGTTTATAATTTCGACTTTTTATCCCCTTACATTAGTGCGGAAATGGGCTTCTATAGTTGTGTGAATGAATCACTCCAGCCAATCCAAAGACGGGGTTTGTAACCAATCATGTGTAGAGACCATGGTGACTGGCTCCGCCCCCTTACTGTCAAAAAGAAAAACAGCGAGCGCGTAGAAAACACCTTCGAGCGCGAGCAGAGACGAACCTCGCGAGCGAGGAAGTTCACGCTCCGCGAGCGAGCAAATATCTCACGCAAGACGGGCTTTTGCTCACGCGAGACAGGCTTTTTTTTTTTTTATTCCGATTATTAACTTTTCTGAATCGAGACCGAATCGTTCTAGAGATTCGAGAGAAATTGAAAAATATTTCCCCCACCCCTAATAAGGTGTAAAGTGAAGAGAAAGAAATTACAACATTTATACATAAACACATTGTGCCAACCTATATTAGAACACTGCTCAGTCTCAACGCAGGCACTCCCAACGTGAAAGACAATCCCGCACTCCCATTCCTGATATCCTGTGTCTAAAATACTCAGACGAGCTTGAGAGTAGGGAGGCCCAATTCATTTAAATCAATCACAATTTGGGCTGCCACAATCAAATGAGGATGATCGTCAGCAATATTGACATTTATTTTGGATGTACCATTCCAAAATGAAAAGCCTCTCAAAGTACCATACATGAGGCAATTTCATTCAAATTCTCCATCACAAGACTACATCTGGTAAATTTCGGATTAGATGGAAAAAGGAAACTATCAATAGTTACACAATAATTTCACTTCAGACGGACAGTACAAATCCCCAAGGTGTCACCCAGGGATGAGCAGGACATTCTGATGTACTATTCCAAAATTAAAGCCTCTCAAAATGCCATACATGAGCTAAAATATCAAATCACAAGATTACATCTGGTCAATTTCAATTTAAAAGGAAAGAAAACAATAGTTACACAGTATTTCCACTTCAGGCAGAGAGTACACATTCCCAAGGTGTCACTCTGGATAACCAGGACATTCTGATGAACCATTTTAGAAATTAAAGCCTCCCGAAATACCACCTTCGTTTTTTAATGGATACTAGAAAATGTGACTTCCTGTTACCAGTAGGTGGCGCTATGGCTTGATTCAACTTTACATCGCTTCAGGCCCAGAGTCTCAAACATGTGTAAATTGGAATGAATTCGATGATGTCCAGTAGAGTTACAACAGTTTAGTTATTCTTGGCGAAGGATCAACTTTGCCGATGCACCATCTCGCCACCGATTATCAAATTCTTATAATAATCACAGTGAAGGATTATTAAGGTCTTAACTTTCTGCTAAGACATTTTGAGAGGGATCGGATTAACCTTTGAGGAGCATAACCTGTCTGGAGCAGGGTGTAAAATAAAAAAAACAATCAGCTTCCTGTTTTCTCCAGGTGGCGCTATGACTAAGGTTAAAAATGATCATATGGATGTCTACAGGGTGAGAAGTTCATGCTATATGAGAAATATGGAGCAGATTGGATAAAGTATGGTCGAGTTAAAACAACTCCAATGGCGAATGGTGTTTTTTTGAAAATGCTCCCTACACACATGGTTTGGAATTTCTTCCGGCGAAATGCAATTTTTAGAGCCTAATGTCTCAAGAGCACACTGCGCAAATTTGAAAAGAATCGGGTTTAATCCCGACGGGACGGGTCCTCGCTATCCCGCACCCTGGGGCACCGGCCGGACGGCTAGAAAAGCAGCCATGAACTTCTGCGGCCGTCGGACAAAGAGTCCGAGAGTCAGTTGTCGTGTCGGACGGCGCAAGGAATTTCGCTTTGCAAACCTCATCTTTAACATTATTAAGGTCTAGAGCATGTCCAAGAGCACATGTGCGCCAAATTACAAATCTATCGGGCATCGGGGAGGGTACTTTTTCAACTTTCTAGGGGGCGCTATGGAGACATTTCTACGTACCTAAATGCGAGACCCCAAAAATAGCAATATAATATAATATTTTTCACCAATCCTGATATGCATGACAAATTTAACAACTTCCCAAAATGGCAAAATTTAGAGAATAAAATAGTAATAATAATAATTCCTTGAAATACAATAGGTTCCTCTTCGAATAGTCGTAGCGAGGACCCTAATAAATCATATATTGATTATCGGAAAACAGGCCTACACCGGAGTGAATACTATTTTAAGTAAGTAGAGGGCAAAAAAAAGAAGGGAAATCCATGGGCTAAACCCGGGGTCTCAAACTCAAACATCCGGCAGCACCAGGGCCGCCACCCCCCCGCCCCCCTCTCCTCTCCTCGACCGTAATGGTCTGGCCCGCGTTTGGTCTAAGCCACCTGAAATGAGTTTGAGACCCCTGGGATAACACAAATGGGAGAAATCGTACGCATAACATAAAAGTTTCAAATTCAAACTAAATGATCATAATGTCCAATCATTCTCACAGCATGGCCTACACTATGGCCCATGGACAGTTGGACCGACGATTTGATGCCCTCCGATGGTCAGACAACGTGAACAGAAAGCAGGACACTTCAAGGACTTCTGCAACACTCTGAACATCTGGAGCCGCCTCAACACAACCTCCTACTGCCTTCCACGGTGACGCCTGCCCAAGCTCACACATCCTGCTCTTACCTGGCAGATGCACGATTGCCCATAGGGAGTGTAGGAGGGAGCCAGACAGGAGAGAGTTCAAAAGGATAAAACCTCTCACTCTTTCCGCCGATTAGAAACCAAAACAAAAAGGGGACCAAAAAGGTAAAGGAGAGGATGGGAGGTGAAGAGTAGGGCAGAGGAGAGAGCAAGCAGTGCTAACAGTCAAAGCAGAGATTATACAAGGAGGAGTGGAAAACAGCAAGAGAAGAAGAGAAAGAGGGTAGAAAGAGTGGTGCAGAGAGGAGAGGAAGAAGATACAGAAGAGGAGAAATGTGGGGGCTCTGCTGCAGTCTGAACACAGACGAGTCCTGGACCACGTTGGCTGACTCGCTCACTTCTCCTCCAACACTCTCACTCTCTCTGTGTCTGTCTGATAGAGAACTCTCCTTGGCTGTCGTCAGCAGTAGGCCCCGCCCTCTTCACTGGCAGCTGGGACATGATTAGCTGATGCGGCCTGGCACTGCATTGCAGGTGAGGGACGACATCAGCCCCCATCCTTCCTCCCTGTGACCAAAACAACCCCATTCCTGTTTGTTGTACACACGGTATGCAGCCGGCTGCTCCTCGTGTTATCATAATCAAGACTATCCAAACATACATGTAGGAAAAGAATCGCCAGGGAACCCATAACATCATAATTTATCTGTGAGCGGTTCGGACTGAAATTATTGGCATCTATGCTGATCTAGTCGATCTCTGAGAATGTCACATTGTAGACAACTAATCCGTATTTAAAATAAGCAGAACGATATGCACTTGAGTTACATTATGATGCATTCAGGCTCCTTTCAGGGAAAATTTGTATTGCGAGAAGGTAAATATGATATTAGGATTCAACGAATTGTATTTGGCCAAATATAGTGTTGGTGAGAAACTTCAACAAAATAGATCAAATTATTTTTTTAAATACTCCTCAGCAACTTATAATGCATAGTTAAAAATGAGCAGCTTTGTTTAATCCTTAAGAATACTAATACTTTTATTTCATTATCATTTTGATTTTTTTTTTTGAGGAAGTAGGTGATGAAAACAGAATTTTAAAAAATGATAATATTTACTGAATTCAGAGCGGTTGACTTTTTTGCAGTGTTGTCAAAACAAAAGTAAAAAATGGTCAGGAGCCTTGTAGACCAGACGTGATAGTGAAACAACAGTGGCTCTGCAATGATTGGTAATTAGTATCAGGTCAGTACAAAAAAAAGTGATCAGGGATCGAAGAGTTGTATTTGATCCCTGTTTTTGTAAAACCATTTCTGAAACGATCTGAACGAAGAGGTTTCTTTGCACCGCTAGCCGATAATATTCATATGCATTAAAACAATAGCATTAGTATTTCTGAAGATTTTGACATGATATTAGTGGAGCAGACATAGTGGAGCCATTCTTTGCGTTCAATAAGTGACAAACTATTTTCTCTGACGAATCACCAAATATTACCTGGCATTACAATTACAATTGAGACATCAAGTCACTAAAAAAAGTAATAATCACCATTGTCTAAAAAGTGCATGTCAAAAAATGGCTTCAAACTGAGTAACACAATATGCAAACATGAAAACATTGAGAAAGACAGACCTTTTCAAAAATCTCTACACAGCCTTGCTCAGTCCAACAACAATGCCACAGTACATCTTGTTCAAGTTTTACTCTTCAAACTATTTTTCATGAAGACAAATGGCCTATAAGAAAATCCGCTCCACGGCAGCCATGGCCAATGAAGACAGTCCAGAGCCACTGCCACTGACATGACAGTATATGTCAGTGTCTCCCGGTTTCTCCTGGCTGAACCGTTTCCAAACATCCTTCCCTATCGGGTCTCAAGAGGCAAAATAACAAGGGCACAGAGGAGCTCTGAGTGATGGGATGTGGCCACGAAGTTAACGTCCACCTCCTCTCCTAACTCCAGATAAAATCAATGAAAAGTGCCCGAGCAGCACATTGAAACAGCAGTGGCAGGTAGCTGCATGGAGGGTGCAACGCACACGCACTGTAAGTGAATGTGCTGAAGAACCTTCGCTTCAGCACCTGCAGGGTGAGCACGATGGCCAGAGAGAGAAATACAGCATACAACACAGAGCTTTAGTGGGCTGCAGATGATAAAAGATTTGATGGGTTATGTAATGAACTGCGGCTAAGGGGAGCTAAAAGGAAAATACAATTGAGAGCAACTGCACTGGCAAATAATTGCATTTTCGGTCCTGAGTGCACATCAAATTCAAAAATGACATCTGATGGACAGAACATTAGAGGAAATGATGTGGTTCAATGTCTGAAATGACGCACAGAAATAAGTTAAAATGCATAAATAAAGTGACAAATAGTTGGGTGATAGCGCTTTCAAAAGACTAGCGCATATCCACTAGGACATCAGTCCTCTTCTCACTGGCTCGCTCACACACCAAGCAAGATAAATTAGCAGGTAGTCAAGTAGGCTACCTCGTAGAGCAACAACAGTCAGCATCTTCTCCTTGATGAAAAGGGATCGGCCAATCAATAAGTCAGCCTGTTTGAACTGACATCTGCATGGCCCAGTTTGATTTCATACATTAAAACACCAACCGGAGCGTGAATGGGTCCCTCTCTGGAGGGGGGGGCGCTCGTCTCTTCCCCACGCCTTATTAGGGGAGGAGTTCTTCCCGACGGCTCCTTCCCAATTGGGTTAGGGTTTTCTACACAAGTATTCGAGAAAGGCCTTTTCGAGGGGGATTTAAAAACCCGCCCGGTGTGGGGAACGCATTTAGTTTTTGGACGGCAAGTGGGGGATATCCTTTCACGAAAAGGTGCCAAAAAGGTACCGGGGGGGGGGGGGGGGAAGAGGGTAACACAATACTTTTATAGCGGGGGGGGGGGGGGGAGAGAGAGAGAGAGAGAGAGAGGATTTATGCTTGGCCTATGCTCACCACTTGCTTGATGGTTATTGACATAAACCATGCTTTGTACACTGTACAAACCCAGCTGGAAGGATTAGCCCTCCAGCTTTGAGGTATACACTTGCAATGCGAAGAGACCGAGGTATTAAAGAAACGTAGCAATCATAAAGCAAAATAAAGAAAGAAAGGTGGAAAAGGACGGCACTCCTTGGCCAAGAGATGGGGAAACCCGATTAGAGGGATCCCAGCATGGCGGTTTGTGTACAAGGTTTGATCCTGGGATAGGGTTTTATGGAAAATGAAACTAAGCATGGGCAGGTGAAGGGGTTTCCTCACCAGAGGAGTTAGTGCAATTAGTTATTGAGAGCCATGTGAGAAAAGGCAGCAGAGCAGTGGAAACTGTGATATGACAACAACAAGCAAGTGTTCCCAACTTACTTTTTTCCAGGTTTCCTTTGCCTTGTCCTCTTCTTCCTTGCTTGCATGGCGAGTACTAATGAGTAGGAGGCAAAAAAACCAGTTGGCGTGAGTTGCGTTAGTACGGAAATACTTAACGTATCAAAAACGCACGACTTTCCTAAACGAAGCACGGATTCTCAAGGCTCCGTGGGTGGGTAACGGTACATTTTGTGATTTTAGAGAAAGAGCACCCGGTGTGTTGCCCGGCTGGAGGTGTCCGAAACACGTATTGTTACTTATGGGTTACGTTAGCCGCCGTGATAGCTAGCGGGTCACTTAGCTGGAGTCAAAAAGCTAACGTGAAGTGATCCGGCCTCGGCGGTGTGTTGCCCCATGCAAGAATAAATGAAACACTAACGTGGAGCCTTTCAACGTAGATGCAAAACTGGCTCTGTCCAATGTGCTACCGGGTCCTGGTACATGTGTTAATATGGACGCTTTTCTGGCGCATTCCTTTATTTTAACAGGGATGTAAGTTGTGGCGCATAATTGTCAACGATAAGATGCTAGCGTAGTCTGATAGCTAGAGCTAGCATACCGATAACACACGTACACAACCAGCGGGAACGCATGGGCCACTTTTACTTTTCATCTAACTGTTACGCTGTTTGTGCAGTATTTGAAGCCGTTACGACGATACTTTGGCAGAACATTGTCTTGAAGAAACGTGTGTTATGTGTTTCAAGTACTATATGTAAAAGACATTTAGGAGCAATTAGGTTACAGCAACGTTACCTTTTCTTTCCATGGCTAACCAGTCAGGAGATAAGTTGCGTTCAGGGACTGTAGGAAATGTCGCAACTGTAAAGTGCGCGAAAAGGATCGACCCAACCGAATTAAGCTGTAGGGGTGAAGTTGAAACAATAATGATTCTAATAACACAACTGCTTTACAATTCAACATGATAAAATAAAGATGAAAATACAGCAAGATAAAATAATTGTAATAGTTCCAACAATTTGCTGCTTCACCTTAAATCCAGTGCAACCACAGTTCTTTACTGGAATGATCTTCTTAACACTATATTATGACACAGTGCCACAATACCTGCTAATACTATTGCAACTTCCACATTAGTTGAGTTTTTTATGTTAGTGATGGACAGAATTCAATCAATCAATAAAAAGTAATGTTAATAATCCAGCTTTTGGAGATTGATGGTTATTTACAGTCAAGGCTGTCAAATTAACCCTTGATATATCATTTGCAATAGAAGTTAAAGGACTAATATTTTATGGCAAATGTAAATGTAAAAATGTAACTTAATGAGGAATCAGGAAACATTTATTGCCATAATATGTTAGACATACAGGGAATTTAACTTGGCAGTTGGTGCATTACAGCAGACAGTACGACAATGGACGACAAGAGAGCAGTGCACAAGGAATAAAATAAAATATAATAAGAATAATATTATAAGAAAGAGTTATAGTCAACAATCTGACAAATTCAGTTAATCAAACTCTGGAACCGTCACTGTCTATTTAACATACATATTTTAACTTTCCATAACTATTTTTGAAATTTCATCCCTAACTATGAATTTTATTTCCTGTCATAATGGGCTTTCGTAATGAAAAGCAAGATATCAGCCATCAATCTGTAATTTTGTAGTTCTTGTATTTTCCCAGAATGAATAGTTATTTTCTCATGTCGAACTGGGAAAACAAGTTGCCCTCTTATCAGTTTTGGTTACCCTTTCACTGGCTGAGTAACAATTCAGCTGTAAACTAATTACTAACATATTAAGATTATTGAGCTTTTATATTCTGTGTGCAATGCAATCACCAATAGGAATAGTGTCTAGTATTTCATTCATATCTTTAAGTATTTTTATTTACATCAACCTCTTTATTTCATTTTTATTTCACCTTTTCCTACAGCCCTTGTCATCCTACATGTTGGCAAAGGGTTTTCTCTTGTGCTTTGCTGGTGGCATATTGACAGCTAAAACTTGCCACACAATATGCTGTACACACTGTTACAGGTTTGAAAAATAGTAGCCTTTATTTCTAATGGTGTTATTTACAGGTGGTGTGGTGTGCTGTCTTGATACATTGGACAAATAAAAAAACAACAACATATGAACACATCGTGGGAAAAGAAACAAATTACTAAATGAACTATGGACATTTAGATATGTAAAAAGATGAATATCCTTTTGAATGTATGCAGTTGTTTTAAAACTACAAAGAACAACAGTTCAGCATCCAGTGAGTAAACATACACTCCTTCCCGCAAACATGTGCCCTGCTAAATTATTCAAATGAATGGCAAATATATTTCTAGCATTACTCAATAAACAGGAAATATTAATCACCAAATAATATCAAATCTTAATTTAACACACAAAAGAATAAAGTACATTAAAAAAGCACTATATGAAAACAGGTGATTGCAAATGAAACTGAAGAGACTGATGTTTGACATTAGCATCTGTGGATGTAGCTAGTATGTCACAAGGTAATCTGACCCCACAATAGTTTACATAGAACATTTCAAAGGTTCATAGTACAATTCAGAAACATGAGTCTACGGTTCAGGGGTTTGTATGTCAACGTGAAATGGTCTTGTAGTTGAAATACATATCTTGCTGTGATATTTTTAATCAAATTCATTTTTCAAAATAGAATTATTTTGGAGAGAAGTACCTCAGTGAACAAAATAAGTTATACAAATGTCCAAGAACTGCTTTGAACTAAAGGAGAAAATCAACAGAAACCACTCCAACACGAGCAGTTGATCAAACTGATTTTAAACTATATAGTTGTGCACAACATCTTATAATATTGTTGGCTCCCATGGACAAGCTGTAACTGCAGTGGCCACAGCTAAACCAACGTTTGAGATTATCAATGGTACATTTGGTTTCTGATACAGTAAGCTTTCCATAAATAATAAAAAATAACCTTGAATTCTAACAAATAATATTCTCTTTTACATTGATATACAAACATAACATCATAAATATAGGGCAGATTGGTGCCCTCAACATTCAATAACATTTAATAGTACTGTATTGTATAAATGCATTATGATAAAAATACATTGTCAATTGTGGTGGGAAACATCAGATTGCAAAATACAAATCTGACTATATCACACAAAAAGGTGTAGGTTGTGATTATGGGGACGGTAACGTTCATCTGAAACAACCGGATAGAACTAATAAAACAATGGTTTAGTACGAGAAATGGATGCAGTCAAGTCTACATACTCTCCAAACACCTATTTTGGTTAAAAAAAGGACAGTGTAAACCTTCAAATCTAACGTTAGGAATATGAAGCCTCTGATTTGCCACGAGGAAGTAAATATTTAACATTTTAGCCTATTTTACACATACTTTGTATTTGTATTAAGTTACTTAATGCATCTTTTTATATACCATTTTAGGTTACATTCTAGTAATACAGTTTTGTACTGTCAAAGGAGTCGGCTGAGATGTGGCTCAGTAATTATGACTATTATACATAGTATATTAACGCGCTTTGTTTGACGGAAGTACTTATGTACAAATACTGTTTGTCATATCTACACAGCTCTATGCACCGAAAAACCATTTCTACCATAGAAATACCATTTCATATTAATATTTTGAGGAAAGATACACAACTAAACCGCAGTGTGACACGTTTCTATCAAACTTTAATTCTAATGTATATTAATGCTAAGTGGTAAATTTTCATAAAATACATATGAGGAGTTATGTTTCTCCACGATACTGACATAGTTTCTAGTTTTCTGAATCAAATAAGGGATCAATACAAACAATAAATGTTTGAGGTAAAAACTCACAAAAATTATAAACTGAGAATTTAAAGTCTGCGCTTTGGGATGCATGGTAACAAAAACAGCAATATTTAGGGACAGAAAAAACAGGATGTCAAGTTTTAGCCCTGATAAAACAACGTCCACCGGAGATGAATGACGGCAGGCACTTGAATGTCTTGTGTGTGCGGGCGCGCGCGCGTGTGTGTGCGCGTGTGTTCATGAAGAAAGTGGTGGATAGTCAAGAGACTGATAGTCCTTTCATAGAAAACAAGAAGATGGAAGAAAGGGGGCCAAGTCCTCTTCAAGATTCCATCTCGTCACCATCGAACAACGGCGGCTCGAAACTGATTACCTCCTCATAGGTTAACCCTGAAAAGGAATGAATAACACTAAGGTTAATTACCAAGTGTTTCTGAAGAAATCTATTGAATGCACAACTTGCAACGGCCTATTTTCTTCTCAGCAGTTGAGGTTTTTCGCTAAGTGTCCACAAATGTGCCAACTTACTCTTCCATTCCTCAATTTCCAGTTCGCGGCTTTCGAAGCTCTGGTCGTACGGCTCTGCTTCGGGCTCATCGTCCGGGTCGTGGTACTGGGCAAAGTATGGGTGGGCTAGAGCCTCAGACGCCGTGATACGTTTGTCTGTGTCCAGCACCAACATTTTCTCCAGCAAGTCCACGGCTTGAACGCAGCCACAAGGGAAGAGCATTAAAACTTTTATCTTATTGTTGTGGTCAATATTTTTCATAGTGGATTATCTAAATTTCCCTTCCCCATAAAATAATTATCCCTGACCAAAACAACAAAAAAGTTGACTTTATGACACCAGTAGAGGGAGTCACTGAGCCAGGCTTGAAGTCAGCCGTGGCATGATGCTGAAAGGGAACTTACCGAGAGGGTTAGCGCCAATAAACACATCAGCAAAGTTCCTCTTGGGCATGTGGGGAAGTGAGTTGATGTAATTCCTCGCCTGTGAGAAACAATGACCGAAACAGTAAAATATAACACAGGAGCCAGAGGTTGCACTTAGTCGTGTACAACTCAAAGTTACAGCTCACCCCCAAATAAAAAAATGTGTTATTTTTCAATCAACAAATCAAGAGTTGCACATGGCCTGTGATGATCAAAGTGCCAAAAGTTGCATGTTAAAACTGCAAAGCAAAGTCGTTTTATAGAAAACCCTATAAATGATGATGATGATGATGATGATGATGATGATGATGATGAAAGATGATCTACAGACCTTGTTGAGAGCAGTTTTTGATATATCCAAAACTATGCAAGACACAAAACCGTCTGGATTTATACAAAACTAAATATTTTTTTATTTTTGCCTGGTACGGAAACTGTTATTACTGTACATCCTTCCAGTAAGGCCCGCCCCAAGCCCCTCAACTACCAACCAAGCTCATTACTCAAACACCCAATCAATATGTGTGACTAAAGCCTTGGGCAGCTCATCAGAATTCACTGGAAAAGCACTCTGCGAAGCTTTGCTGAGACAAGCACATTGAGTCAGAGAAGAAACAGGGAGTAAGTTGAGTGAGAGCAAAGGCTAAAACGCAGATGCAACCTTTGAGGAACTTAAAAACTACAAAGTGGTGGCCCTGATTACAGCTTTGGAGAGAGAGGGGGTGAGGGCTGGTGCTCATGCAAAAGTGGAAGGCGCTTGTCTCACCTCGTGGCTGGGCATCCTGCTTATGAGGGAAGCTGGGGGCGTCCCCGTCAGGCGCATTATCTGCTGCAGCTGGTTTATGTCTATATCTTCCGAGTCAAGGGGCATCATAATATGGAGGTCAGCATGTCAAAGAGCGTGGGTGGTTAGGATAGGTTGTGTATGGAGGGGTGGAAAGAGGGGGGGGGGGGGGTGTAAACGCGCGCACGCACACACACGCAGAGAAGATGAAGACACTTTGCTGTAGCAAGGCTGAGAAAGTGTGATCTCCGCTTGACTGTAACTTATAATGACGTGTCCATGTACTAGATGACAGACCTCTAAACTTTGTCAGATGAAGAGATAATAGTGCTTGCTAAAAAGAAGTGGGAATCAAAGCTTTGAGCTAAAGTGCAAGTAGAGCCATTAACAAAAAACAACCACACAATTTTAGGACACAACCGCAGCAGCACAGAAGTAGTAGTAGCAATACAAAAGTTATAGTAGATTGCCATGGCAACACAAACACAGGCAAAAGGGGAATTCCAACAGGACGGGCGGGACGGTGCTAAACACTCACAGACTCTGAAGAGATTTTCATCAAGAGCTCGGGCCCTGGGGTTCCGATGAGCATCATTATAAGCTTCAATTGATCAATGTCTACCACAGGAACATGAAGGAAAACAGGAGGGATGGAGGGTGTTTGACAAAAAAAGAGGGAGAGATGTAGACGTCAAAGCTGTTTTCTTTCATTCAAAAGTAACATAAAGGAAACAAAAAGTCAACAAATGTGCACTGCTCCTGATTACAAACATTACGATTTGAATAAGACTGAATTGAGATTGAACACGAAGAATCCACAACTACTTTCCTCACGTCATGTCATGCAATCTTTGGTCACTTTGCACGTTTTCAGTTAATTATTGCGTTCAGCCATGATGTGCCAAGTATAATAAATTATTTGGACAATAAAAAAGTACAGTAGGACAAAAATTTTGAACTTCAAAGCAAAACATTTTCAACCTACACATTATTTTTTTTTAAAAAGCAGCAAATCCTATCACTAGAGAAGCTAGAAGCGAAATAGTCAAGCATTTTTGCTTGAAAAACACCTAACAATTGGCGGATCCAATAATCTGATTAACCTAATTGTTGTCCCAAAGCATGACAAACCAGAAATGTCAGAAAAATGGCCAAAGTGAATTTTGAAAGTATTGCCAAACAAAACCAGACAAATTACATGCACCTGATCTTTTTAAATTTAGAAATGTCAGCAAACATTAGAAAAAATTATATTTTGATGTCCTTCCTTGATTATGACGCTCCTGTACGCTGTATATTAACACGTGCAGAAGCTGCTTTGTTTGTTGAACATGTACTTGCACGCACGCACGCACGCACGCACGCACACACACACACACACACAAAAACAAAGTGAGGGGCTTGATGGATCATTCAGAACAGGAATCTCAAACACAAGATGGAGCAGCAGGCTGGTGCTTTCAATGTTGAAGAGAACAATGATCTCAGTAAGGTGTGCCAACGGCTGTTTTTGGTGTGATACGGTGTATGCGCTAACACACCGCCTTCCTGTGTGTTTCGGTTTAAAACAATGTTGTGTGTTCTGCTGCTGCTGGCGCATTGGCAGCTTTGTGGGAGGGAAACAGGAAGGTGTGCTGTATTGTAGAGAAGCATTGGAGACAATAGTGGGCAGCGCTGAGTCATAGACTGCAGGGGACTCTTAACTCCCATCACATGAACACACTCGCACAAACAAACATGCACACACTTCCTTTGCTATTCTGCACCTCACAAAAGTCAATATTCAACAATGCTTTTGAGTCAGGTTAAAATAAGTGTAACTGGACAGGTGTATGCATTTGAAACACTATGGTGTTAACAGAGAACATTAACACTAGGAGAGTATGCATCCATCTTCCACCTCTTGAGATCCACCTAAAGAACTACAGAACTGCTGTTGCAGAATTCTCCAGGAAGCATTATTCTAACGTTTGCATGGTAATGCCAGCGGTGGAAGGATACGGTCTGTGCCAGGGAAGAGCGTCTGTCCAGTAAGTAGTTCAGCCATGATGCAGCCCACCGACCAGATATCGACTGCAACATGTTATAAAGAAAAAGAAAAGCATACAGCACAGTGAGTACTCCTAGAATATGAAACAACTTGTCCATATCATATTCAGCACGTAAGTGTAAGTGTGAGACGTAAGCTAAAAAGCAATTTCGTTTTCTATATGACCATTTAAACCAACACCACAAAGCCATGTAAGACAATTGCTTTGGCTGCTGTCACATTAACGTCATTAGAGCTGGCCTGGTTCCTCTATAAATCTCCCAATCATATGTTACGCAGTAGTGATGCTACAATAGAAATAGCAACACCTATCTGTATCTTGATTATCTCTATCAAGATCTATACACAGCAGTGTATAATTCAGACAACAAAGACTTCCATTATTGTGGCAAATTTCATCAAATTTATGAATTATGACGCTGAACTGCCCCAATGACAGATAGCTATTTCAATTGTATACATTTCACATGATGTCCTTTTACATTCGGTTGTAGCTGAAGCATTCTGTGCACCTGTCATGTTGTAATGCATCCAGTTGAGCATAATCTCCGGGGCACGGTACCACCGGGTGGCTACGTAGCCCGTCATCTCGTCGTCTGTGTGCCGCGCCAAACCAAAGTCCAGGATCTTAGGGACAAAGAGCGTTTGTGAATATTCTCTACTCCACGTGGTTATCTAAATGATACGTTGAACCTTGTTTCAAGTCGACCGTTTCTTACCTTGAGCTCACAGTCTTCATTCACGGCGAGATTACTCGGCTTCAAGTCCTGAAGGGACAAGAAGGAAAAGTCAAGACTGGATACGGAAGTACTGGAGAAGTATCCTTCAGATCTCCGCCTGTCCCTGTTTAGGTTAACCACACACCCAATGTGGAACTCTTTGTTTTGGCTCTTGGTAGGAGGTTTGATCAGCATGAGACATCTAACCTCCGAACAAGAGAATTTATCAGGACTAAAGCGTATTGAAACACATTAAACGGTCTACTTACTCTGTGGATGATATCTGCTGAATGGATGTACTGTGGGGAAAGAAAGAAAGAAGGAAGAAGATTAATTAGAGAATTTACATTACACTCATTTTGTATCACTCAGTGATAAATCTCAAGTAGTTTGCGAAGATACTCAACCAATTAAAAAGAAAATCTATACTGATAAACAGTAGCTTAATTTAAGACTATTTCCATCCACAAATCAACAGGGAGAAAGCTGCAGGGTGGAGCAGAGTTGTCCCGTTCCGCTGGATGCCTCACTGACCTTTAAGCCTCTGAGAATCTGGTAGATGAGGAACTGAACGTGGTCATCTGTCAGCTTTTGACATTTGACGATATTGTTGAGATCTGCTCCCATTAGGTGGGTCACCAAGTACCTGCAAATCATACAGTACAGCCGATGAAGTGGGGACTCCAAATGTCTGTCTTTGTCTTCCGCAGCTGTCTTACATTCATTGTTTTTTTTCCATGATTAATTGTGTTGTTTAAGAAGATAATTATATCTTCATTGGAACAAATTATATTAAAAACTATTAACGTCAGCATAATTCCACATTTAATGTTTTTTAAGATTGTTCTGTGTAGATTTATTACATTTAAGAAAAGCCAGTGTTCGGGTTCAGCAATAAATGAGGGTAAATAAAGTGACGTGAAGAGTAAGAAAACAGAAACGTCGGATTTCTTTCATTTATATTTACTTGATAGTGTACAGCTTATTCAGCCAACAGATGAGCTAATGTCACAAGACACCAGTTATTGGCTGCTCAGTAAATACGTGCCTGCATCTGCTTCTCTTGCAGTATGACAGAAAGATTTGTGGCATAATTGCTTTTATTACTGGTTACAAAAGATGAAATGTCACATATTTATTGTGGAACTGCATTGCCAGGTGTATGTTGAGTTGCATCATCTCACATTTCAACAAATGTGCTACATGCATGCTGCCACACCATGCTGAGCATTCAAGGACACTGAGTGAATATTATGTGCATAGATACACACAGAGACACAAAGTACCCCTGGAGACTACCAGATGGCTGTTACCATAGAGACTAGCTGTGATGTGCATAGTGCACAAGTTCAGCATACAATCACCTTGCTAAAACCTGCCAGTTGCGGGACTCACATAAAGTTAAGAGCTGCAGGGTTGTGACGTGTTTTTAAGTCTACCAGTACTATCGTGCTCATCTTACGATCATTGTGTGTGACAATGAGGGATCCTAGAGAGCGCTTAAGACAGAAGGTAGACAGACAAAGACAATATCAAAAAGAGTGAGAGGAAAGACTAAAAGTGGGACTTACACATCATTGAACTCCTCCAAGCTTGTTGCTGGTGAGAAAACGTCCAATAGACCAATCACCTGAAGGCAAGAAAAGAGGTCAAAAGGTCAGGAAACATAAAAACAACAAAGAACTGTTTTGAACATTTCTATAAAAGTATCCTGTATGAAGTTGAACTTGATTTTGTCAAACAAGGAGGGAATCCTTTCCTTTTCCATTTCCATGGACTGGATATTATGTATAGTGACGTACACTTGCTTATCCACAGGCTGTGTTTTGGGGAACACTAGGTCAGTCATAAAGGAGATTATAATAACCACAACAGATATGATTTCAGGGGAAGGAGAGGACATTATCCGGTCAAGACCATGATGACAGGACGAGCACCGGTGGCTTTATATGTGTGAAATATACATTTATATGTGTGCAATTTATATTTTAGAGAGTTGGCACAAAAGCAATGTATGGTGTTGGATTGCATTTAATTGGTTTCACATTGTTTCTAACAACATCTTCAATTCTGAGCAGGTTCTATTTGTTCTCATTCCTGAACATTACAAGTACTTTGGGTATTAGATACAGAGGGCTAAAATGGGTTTTTCCATCCATGCAAGATCTCTTCACTACAGATTATGGCATTTGTGAAGACATAACACGCAAAAAAAAACATGTCAAAGTGACAAAGTATGATAGCGTTAGATTATTATGTGCATAGATGAATTTTTCTGTTTGAACAAAGATGAAAAGCGAGAGAAAGAGGACAAAGACAGGAAGCATATTGAATGATTATCTTGAGTGCGTGTGTATGTTTGTTTGTGGAATACAGCAAATGTACACGCTCACATTCATGCATACTAGCATTCTGGCAGAGAGCCGCCTTGAGAACCAACCGTGCCCCAGCTCTCTGGAGAGACACTGGGGAGGATAGGTATTATAATAATAACACAGGAGCAGCCCGCCCACGCGGGGCGCAGAACCTCAGCTGATTGGATGGCTAGAGGCACAACAATCTGCTGATTGGTCGACCAAGGATTTCCAAAACTCCAAACCCAGGGAGTCTCCTGGCAACAGCGTGAGCAAAACACAGAATCCCCTCCCTGTGTAAAGCCGAGGTAGGTATTAAAATGCTTTAATGATTTAAGAAGAAAAAAAGCACAGCTTTATGCAATACTCCCTGTTATGATGAAACAGAAATTGACAACAACATGCCGAATGATAATATCAAGCAGCAATATAACCTATTAAATAGGCTGTCTGCATCACCACTCCATGATTTTGCAGTAGAAGGTTTTTTTTGTAATCTTAAATAATCTTGGTAAAACCATGTCAAATAAAATGAAAACAGATATTTTACCAGCAGTACAATGCACATGCAACACTATTATCAAAACTGTTTCAATAGTGAAATAAAACAGGATTAACGGGATACAATGTACATCCTTGAAATGGGATTCTATTTGAACACGGGGTACGGTGTACCGTTGGCCCTTAAATGCTGCTGCTGGTGGGTTTCTTTCCTTTGAGACTGACATCTCCATGCTGCAGCTTATTTTTTTCTTTATTTTGTGAGTCTGTCCGTGTCATGTAAAACGTCTGTGCTTCAAAGCTGGCTAAAATGGCCAAAAGCTATAAAATGCACCCTTTTCTCCCCCACAAAAACCACAGCACCAACAGAGACTTCTAGCCATATTCACAGACTCATATCATTCAGTGGTGGACTAGCTCCCACTCAGCTTGAGAAATCGTAGCAACTGAATGTTACATAACAGAAAAAAGGAAGCACAGAGTGTTATCTGAATGTACTAACAACACACAGAAAGTAGGCACTGTGTGCGTTGTGTACGTGGGCAAGTGTCTGCATTTGCGACACTGCGTACTTACACCTAAACACAGAACACCAAAACACAAGCAGAGATCGCGGGAGGAACTTAAGCTACTGCCGTGAAATAATAAACCTAAATGGAATGAGCCCAAATTGCTGCAGCAACGAAATCAGCCTCAGAGAGTGTGATGGGGTTGCGGTTTAAAACCCTTTTGGTGACTCACTGCATGTGCTGCAGCACAACATACCTCGATCACTCGCAGGGAATCCTCTTTCTGAAAAAGGACATCAGACGTGTCACAATCCCCCTCCCCTGAGGCCAGTGTGTGTTTGAAACTGAGACAAGAAACCACCATAGGCAACAACAAGTTGTTGTTTCTGCAGTCAGCTGAATGAGGCGTTAGGTTGCACAAGCAACTTTGGTCAGTAGTTTAGAGGGATTGGATGTCTGTTTATTGATGTGTGCACGTGCATGTGGACATTAGCTGAGCTAAGTGACTGTGTCAAAAGCACACTGCACGTGTTCATGACATTAAGTGCCTGCAAATGGAGCTGTGTTTCTCCTCCACAAAAGAAGAGTATGTGAACGGATGAACTGGAGCTTTTCTGTGGTTCAATTTCATACTTAGTAGCAGACATCTTCTAGCTTTAGCCCCGTATCACTTTCTAGGTCACGTGTTTCCATTCGTGTTGATTCGATCTTGAGGCCAGCTTTGAACAAGCTCCAGCAATCATAAGCTACAAGTCAACACGGATACAGACAGTCAGACAATGTAACCCGCAGTGAGCACTGCCTGTTTCTGCACGTTAGGACTCACTGTGCAGAACCTCACGTGCAACAACACGTGCAATTCTTGCTTAAGACCTAAATGAGAGAACACAGCATAAAAACAGGCCGGGCAGTAGAGGTGAGTGTGGGTTCTTTGCGGGCGACTCACATTCTCGTGCTTCATGTGTTTGAGCAGCCGCAACTCTCTGTAGGTTCTCTTTGCGTGGATGATGGACTGGAAGGGCCTGGACAACTTCTTCACCGCTATCTTCAGGCCCGTCTTCACGTCGTACACCGAGCTTAAAGACACAGTGTTTGCAAATAGTTAAGACCTTGATTGTAAAAAGTAAAAGCATTTTGTCATGCCAATAACAGTTGTCATATCAAAACCGTAAACATTTCGCTTCATTTAACCCAGAACGACACACTGCACTGATGATGCTGAGGTGGCCTTAACCCAGTAAACAAAAGACAAATAATTGCAAAACTGTTGGTTTGGATTGCTTTTTATTATAAAATCAGCAAACCGAGGTTGTATAGGGGGGACGTGACTGAACATGACAACATTGTGTACAAGAACGAAAGAGAACTCACCCATCTAATTGTTTACTTTGTTTAAGTATGATGAAGCGCTACTGAAAATGCAACCTTAACTGTCTCGGCACACGATGTCCAGGAAAACTTGACGCGTGACATTAAAGTCTATAATTAGTTATTTCTGTCCGTTTGTTGAGCCAATCACTCAAAGAATATTACAAGAATGTTTACAGCATTTCAATAACAGGAAGGTAAGATTCAGGTGTTACAAAATATTTCATAAAACAGGAAGTCAACGTCGCAAATGCAGAACCTGATTTGAGCATAGTCTAGGGAAGTCGGCTTCAGCCCTGATTTTGTTGGAGCTGTCCGTTTAAGTGTGCATGTCTGTGTTTGTTTTTGTTGTTGTTATACATCGTTCCTTGTCATTGTTACTGTAGAGACAGTGTCAAAGACAAAGGAAGAAGACAGGTGTGGTGAGAAGCACATGGTCAACAGAAGCATAAAGCTGAGAGTGAAATGTGCCCTCTATTGCTTTAAATTGAGCAAAAAACAAGTGCGGGTACAACAATCTGTACAATATGTTCTCAAATGGAAGCAGGAAAAATCAACACACTTGTGCAAAGACAGACACACTGACACTGTGAGGGTGGTCGAAAGATAGGCAGGAATCTGTGAAGGGAATACAACCCACTTACAAAAAAACACATTCCTTCCAGGTCAATCACTTAAGCTGCATCACAATTACATGATTGCAAAATCATGTCAAAAAAATATATATCTAGCAAGCCAGATATATGGGGAGGGTGTTGCATAAAAATGAAATTCCAAACTGCAGAACAAACCAAAACCAGGGGCTCTGCAATAACAGTTGTCATATCAAAACCGTAAACATTAAACCGTAAACCGTGGTTCAAACTCCTACTGCTGAAAGTCACTGAAACTACCTGAACTACTGACCTGGTATCAGCTGCACTTTGGCCTTTTCAGAGTTTGTGTCAGTGAGGCCATTTTATCGCTGTGTGTTACGGGTGGAGACGAGAGTCATTTCCTTCCAACATATTACACAAACAGGTAATTGGAACTGTTGACCTTTCCCTGCACACGAAGGGAAGGTGAATCTGCGTACTTGTGCTACAGTGCACGACGCCATCAAAAGTAGCATTAATAAAAAGTCTGCATTGCTGCACAAAGTTACGGTGCAGACAGCCACACGTCCCTAATGAGAACATTGACTTAAGCAGTGAGTTTTTCTCCAGTTAGTCGCTGATAATCTCCCACACACACACACACTGAAGTTTTTGTTCCAGCCTTGCGGAAGAACTTGTATATGTGTCACTAGAGGTAAAACCTAAACACAGAGTATTCTGTGCAAACGACAGAGCAGAAAGATCCATGGACAAAAGCTGATGCTAATCTGCAGGACAAACAAGACGGGTCTAAGCATACAATATCCAATTAGTCTGTAATAAATGGAAGTGCAATAACAAATGACCATAAAAAAGTTGGCTGTAAAAGAAGCAGCCTTATGAGGCCCGGGATCCCAGGAGAGATCGCCAGCAGCACGTTGTCAGCCAACAGACATGTACTCTAAGTGACTGGTGGAGAAGTCTGTTGTGAGCGACACGGCCGTCCTGTTGCCATCATCCCAATTTATTTCATTAATTAGACTTGACTAGAGATTGGAGACGGAAGGATAAGCGCTTTGACAACATTTAACCTGCACAGCAGTCACCGTAAATGTAATGCATTTCTTGGGCTGCATTGAGTGTTTCTCAGCCATGGATGCATAAGATTGCTTTTCAGAATCTTGACATAAACGTGCATTGTTGATTGTGAACATAGCTAGCACGACAAAAATTTTGCCGCACACACATTAAGAGTTCATGGCTTTAAGTGTTATGGTGCACATTTACATTTCATCAAATGTGTTAAATATAATCTCTAATATGACAGGCACGTGGACTGTAACAAACTCAAGGAAACACCTTTCTAATATCAACACTTTCAGCATTGAATCTGGTGTCAACATCATTTCTCAACACCTTATCAGAAGCATATGATATCACACACTTTTAAGACGAGCACTACATGGGAAAAACATGACCAAAACGTCCCTGTTCACAATGACAAACACAGCAGTGACATTAAAAAAAGCCCAGTTGGCATAACTGTCAAATGCATACTTCCTCATCTATGATCGAAAGAAAAACTAAAGAATACCAGAGGTGCTATTTAAGTAGTCATTTAACAATGTAGAAATGAATCTATCCCCACAAATCTTCTTAGTCATCACAGAAAGAACACAATCAGGTATTTGGGCAAGGGCTTAGTCATAATTGTTTTTAAATCGGTTTATGGGTATGAATGGAACTAACGAGCATCAGATGAATGTTGGGTAGAACATTGTGGACTATAAAGCAACATAACAAATGGGCAAAAGGGGAAGTTTTTATTGAGCAAGTTCCTTGGTGTTCAGCAGAGCTAATAGACACATCATTGGATCTCACTATCAGGATGCACCCCAATCTTCGAAACAATCATTTTGTTATGCGCTTTATTAGAAGTCAAAGTACTTACTTCAGCTGTTCTGCCCAAAGAGTAAGGGTTTCAATGCAGACCCTCAATCAAAGATTTGTTGGTAACAAGGGCAAATGGCCACTACACACAGCTTCGACTCAAATACTCTTTTTCCAATCTTCTCTGCTAACAATCAAAACGAAACCTTAATACTGAAGGGACAACGAGTCTCCTAGTGTGTCCACATAACTTTTGTCTTTTAAAGAATTTGTACAATAGATTTTTTTGCATATTGGTATCTGTGTGCCAAATCGTTTGCACCAAATGAATAGTTTTACTCTTTGGACATCCCCGATGCCTACAGACATGCATCCAGCATGGAGAACCTAATGGAGTTAAAGTCTTTTAAATTGCTGGTTTGAAACGTAAAGCTCCCGTTTGTTTGGATAGCTGACAAGTCAGTACACGCATCTTTGTCGTTAAAAACAAGTGTGTCAGCCAAACTCACCACAATTTGCACCTTCCCACCAAATTGGCTTCACCCCAGGGTCAGTACACCGGGTTCACCGGAGCAACACATTAACATACTCTCGGCTTCGTTATATGACACTAAACATGTGCTTAGACTTTGGATATTTCAATTAGGCAGAAAGTGCAGCTGGGCCTTTTAGCAGGAATCTTTTTTCGTGCCATAAATCAAGCAAACGAATCGCAGTTTGAAATAGAAATGGGCTCCAAAGAGTAATACTAATACTATTGTCTGAAGGAAAGCAGTAACTGCTTTTGCAGATTTCTGCAAGGTCGGGGAGGAAAATGCTCTGTTGTAGTGGCATGCAGTGAATATGTTCAGAATAATTTATACATAATCTAAAATCCATTTTTAAATGTTTATTAAATGCCTAATTATCTCCAGCAACAAATATTTTACTGGACCAAAATAGTGGGCTTTTAAGCCGTGATTCCCCTGCACTGAGCTGAAAATAAACAAATTGATTTAATAAGCAGACCTGTGACCCTTTTTATGGTTAGTGCATTGTGTGATTGCTTTTTTACACAGCTGAGAAACCTAGACGAGACAACAGGAGGCCCTTAACACATTGCCCATTTTGTAATCCCAACCAGCGCCAGTCACTGCAAGCAGAATACACGCGAGTCGTTTCTGAGAGATGGATGATGGAATTGATTTACAATCCCACGTAGTAAGAGCTTTCAATACCTAGATTTGTGGAAGAATTCAAGCCTAGAGCCGGAAGAAGGTCATGGCAGCAACAACAAAGACTAGTCCAGCTGACCAATAGACGTTACATACAGCAGAAGGTGCTGTGAGGTGTGATGTGATGTTTCCGAGCTGACAATTCCTTGCCTTGGTTTTGGATCTAGTTAAATACGGAAGAAAACACAGAAGAATTTCCTCAGATGCAACTATGGAGGAACTGCAGCATGAGACACAGATCATCAATAACCAACGTTTTCCTATTAGAAGTTTTATTCATAATTTATGTTAAAATGATTCATAAAAGTAAAAAAATCCCACTGGGAATATAATTTATGACAAAGTTAATAAAGCCTCTACGTTAAACAGCTGGTAATGACACCTGAATGAATTAACTACTAAATTTATTTTGCCATTTGAAAATTGAACATGTAGTAATGTTTTTGTACCAACCATGGAGCAGACATCACTACATTACTAGGCTATAAGAAATTGCATTGGAAGATGTGCACATTCTTTTATTATCAGCACTCTCGTGGTCATGATAGGGGTGGGTGATATTTATACACATTACAGCATTTAGCCTCCTAAAGATTTCAGTGATGACATACTGGTCACGCGTTGCACGTGCATGGCAGATGTATGCCCAGTGATTGTTGAGAGTACAATACGGTCACGGTTAACCCTTCATTCACCATTCATAACAGCAAAACAACACAATCACATCAACCGCTGAAGATGTGGGAATAAAAGTTAAAATGACAGTACCAGCCCGTCTATGACTGTGTGATGACTAAAGGCGTCACAGCTGAGGCCACCACCTGACGTTGGGACAGTGACTCATGGGTGTACCACAACGGGGGGAAGGGGTGACATCATTCTAGAGTCACCGCCGTCGTCGAATAGAGTCATGTAGAAAGCTCCTACTGTGCACGAGGGGGGCCTACTTTCCCGAAAACCACGTGACCCACTGGTACTGTGCAGGCTGCACCCAACTAGAAAATGCATAATGCATGCAATGTGCGGATGTGTTAAAAGTACTAGGTTGTACGTGCAGGGCTGCAGCACTGTTGTGGTGGAAGGTGATTATTTCGTTGGGTGTTGGTTAAGCCCTCACTTAAAACGAGAACAGATTGTATCTCACGCGGGGGCACTTCTTGTGCAGATGATTCCGCCGCGGATCAGCTTTCTCCGGTAGAAAGCCCGACAAACGATTAAATGAGCGGTGGCTCTTCGTCATTAACACCGGTTATCTGGTGCAACTTGTCCCCTAGAGTTGTCGGTAGGCTTACCGGACATTGAGCAGTAACGGTGCATGCGTGTGTCAACAGGACAACAAGATATTGAATATGCACAGAACAAATACCCCCCCCGAAGCGTGCACGAAGTTTAAAAAAAAGTAAATAAAAAGGGCACCAACCCCCCCACCACTTTCCTTCCACTGTTAGCCTTCACAGGTTGACAAGCAGCCGGTCGGGGGGTTGCTCTGACGGGCCTCGGTCGGAGGTGAGAACCCGTCTGGCCGTTGTGCAACCGCGCCGTGTGCTCTGGATAGTACCCTGCAACCACTGCTTACCATACGGATCCGTACGCACCGGAGCCCACGGGAGATAAGTTCTGGTAGCGCTCCGGAACCTCCCACGCGGTTTTGTTGAGCTCCTGACGGTAGAAGGTAGGTCTCTCCTTCTGCGACATTGCTGCAGGATTTTACAGCCGCGTAGCGACAAAACAAACGAGCGGAAACTTCTGACCTCTCTCCTCTCCACCCCGTGTGGCACGACGTGGAGTGGTGGTCCCCGAGAAACTACCTCTTCCTCAATCGCTCAACAAACTTCGGACGCCCAGTAGTGCAAATTCGGTGCAATTGTGCAAAAAATAAAATCCCCAGCTCTGCGTGTGCGGGGCGCTTGAAGTCAACTTCCTCTACAGAACGCGCTCGGGTCAGGAAGCAGCCTGGACTAGTGTTCACAGAATTTTTTGTTCAGTTCTCACGTATTGCTGGGCGCGCGGAAACGGGACCGCGCACGTCCCTTCCAACGCTCCCGTCGATCATTTATTTCTCGCGAGAGCTGCGTTGTAACGAGGCATTGAAAACTGGGGAATACCGCCATCCTGCTCCAACTGATTACGTGACTGGGAATCTCATACAGTCAGTAATAAATTTTACCTCACTCATGTCTGAACATTACAGCATCATTGTTTAGAAATAATTAATACATAATACTGATTATTTATATTATTTCATTATATATATAAATGATTGATGGCACAAACCTAAATAAAACTTAAGCAAAGTGTTTCATTAGCTACAAATGTTTTTTTGTTTGTGTTTTTCACTGAGTTTTTTTTTTTACAAAGGAACGCCAAACAGAGGATTAGGCTCTTTGTAAAAATACATCATCAAAGACAAAGAATAGGTACAAATAGGTATTTTTCATGAAAAAATAAAAAAAGTGATATGTCCTTTGAAGAACACAGGTGCTTTGGCTTTAAGGTCCTGGTGATGTTTTTTGTTGTGAATGACACCTGTGCTTTCTCTTATGTGATAAATCAATTGCCTGCTGCAAAAAAAAGGGCTTCTCCAAAAATGACAGTTAAAGTACCTGCCAAAGCAGTGGAGTACACGGTACAATGTTATGTAATACGTTATGACAGTCATAAATGTGTTGTGAAAAGTTGTCAGGGTTCAGTGTGGGAGCTGGGAGACACTGCACACAGATACGGTTGCCTGCCTGCAACTTCAGTCAGAAAATAAATTAAATAACATTGTCCTTTTAGAAAAAGGTATGTTGGGGGATGACAAAACAAAAAAGTACAAGAAACGCTGCAAGAAACCACATTAGGAATGAATGACTGAGTCCAGAGGAAGAATGGGCTAAAAGCAAAGCGGGACAGAATAAAAGGCAGGCTGAATTAAAAGTGTAACCCTGATAAAAATCAAAGTATGAGAGGCTGTAATTATTTTCAAAACTGTCTCAACTAAATATCAATTGCATGTAGTGAATACGACCACACTAAATCATTTCTGAATTGTAGTCCTTTAGAATTGATTTATAGGAAGGTTTCCCTTCTTTTTAAAGGGAACCACATCTCCAGCCGATGCAATACAAATAAAATAGGAACAACTTTCATAAATAAAGCTGGTAATATTGCCAGATTGCTGCAGCAACGAAATCAGCCTCAGAGAGTGTGATGGGGTTGCGGTTTAAAACCCTTTTGGTGCCACTGGAGACTTCTTTTTAAAGACTCCAAACACAGAAATAGTCTGAATGTGTTGTTTTTAACTGCTTTGCTTCCCTCAAAGAACCCTTTAATCTTTAAAAAAAAAAAAAGTGACAGAATTTAATTCAGATGCAACAAGCACCATCAATATTTGGCATTGCATTTAAATGCTTAGGCAAGACAGAAATAGATATAGAATTTTCACAATATAGTAAGATAAGCCATCTTTTAAAGTTATTCTCCTCTCAGGAATATTCTACAGTTGCGGTAAAACATTGTATTCTACATGTCACGCTTTTATAACATTAAAAACGTTATTGTATTAGATGTCAACGGAAATACAACACACCTGTGCAACATGTGTATTTCAAACCTAAAACTAAGCATAAAAGGAGCTATATGCCACATTCCTGACATAAATGGAGAAATAGCATCCTGAGCAGTGAAACTCCTTGTTTTTGTTGTAATCAGCTTCTTAGTTCTTTGTTTTGGTAGCTGGGCCGGCCGCGTGTGCATGTTAAAGCGTGAAACTCCGTCTTGTCTTTAAAACAGTTGGCTCTCCCGGTTCATGCCCCACTGCAGACCCTGGTGGTGGGACGTTGTCCTTGCAGAAGCTAGGCTGCCTCCACTTGAGAGTCAGTGTTCCCAGTGCTTACCCAACACTGCTCTCCACTGCCACGTTGGCTCTACCACTTCAATGTTTACTTGTGATGTCAGCGGTGAGAGCGAAGAGCAGGTGATCCTGGCCCAGACTCTGCATTAGCTCCTTTAAGAGATGTCAAACAGAACTGTTGAGAAAACGTAAGAAACAAAAAAAAGGGAGGGGGAAACAAAAGTATAGACCATAAAATCTTTATACATTAGCTTTATCTTCCCCTCCACCCTTTACACAAGAGGAGATACAGAAAAAAAAAACAGCACAACTGATCATTTTCAATTTGATCACACAGAACCCATGGCAAATCTTGAACGGTCATTTCATGGTCCATATACAACTAGACTAACTTTAGGTTATGTACAGGTATATGGTATAAATATACATGGTGCCCTTCAATCTTATGCATCCTTCAGTATACATTTTTATGGGGTGGGGCTGGAGACAACAGTGTTCCCCTACAATAGAAGGATACCATGTTCCCAGCCGTCCATCTCCACTGTAATAACTCCAGAGATGATTACGGATGCCATTTCTTTCCGTAGTGCATACAAATTATCAAGTGAAGAGTTTTGTACCCAATCACCAGCACTGGCCAGCTCCACAAGGCCAATGGGGTTTCACTGGTCCAGTGTTTCCCCCACTCCATGTTTCCCCCCATAAGGATTAGTACATGACCACTGTAATGAGTCCATCCCTAGCCTGCACCCGACTGGTGTCCTTTCCAGCGCAGACTGACGATCATTTTAAGAAGAGAACGTAGAAAGACGTGGCCAAACAGGAAATTGCCACGGCAATGTGAAGCCGCGTCCCAATTACCGCAGCTATGAAGAGAGATAAACGATAACAGGGATGAGCAAAGAAAACTGCTGGTCAAATACCCACATACATAAAAAGGAGAATAGGGCTGCAACAACAAAATCAATAAAACTTGATTATTAAAAGAGTTGGCAACAAATGTCATTATTGATTTAGTGTAGAGCAGCAGTCTCTAACCTTTACCTCACAGACCGAGTTCATGTTAGACAATATTTCGGACCGGTCTTGAAGGTGTGGCAGATAAACAACCGGCTGACAGGGTTTTTCTCTGCAGACCGGTAGCAGTGGTTGGGGACCACAAGTGTAGAGAATTAGTTCAGGTGTTCAGTTTTCTGATCTGTATTGTTCTTTATTTCTTATAAATTGTTTATTTTTTAACAGGTCAGGTCCCTCTACTCAAAACAAAAATCTTTTTGTACACTTTATTTTTAAAAAGCAAATATATTTGGGCTTTTTTCTTTTTTTTTTAATATGATGAACCCACGTGTTGGAGAAAGACTTCTTAGGTTTTAGCTATTCCCATAGGAACCGTTGTACAGAAATTACAGATGTGTCGTGAAAATATCTACCTTTGTAAAAGACACCCCAAACTCCTCTCTTCTCGGACAGCAGCCAGCCGTTGATACGAGGCACTTTCTTGAGGTATGCACAGGTGCATACGAACAGCAGCCCAAACACCAGGATGCCATCGAGAGAGTACACTAAAGGAAGGCGGTGAAGATGGCATTACAGTGTGGCATACCTGCCAGGTAGTTCAGGGCAGTGGTAACACACAATTTAAAAGCAAATTTGTTATGCACCTTTCCACATTAATGTAGAGTTGTGAGATAATCCATTTATTACAGCTATGGTACTGCACAGGTAAGAATTTGAAAAACATGTTTTTAAGAGGAACTGGAAAAACACGTCCGGCGAGAGAATGTCATGTTGGAACAAATAATACACGTCATTAACAGTGAAAAGAGCAACTGTTGTAAAACAAAACACTAATTGACGATGCTATGGGTTTTCCTGTGTGTAAAACCCCGAAATCCCTAACTACCATTGATTACTACAATGTCCATCTTTGTGCCAAATATTTTAATATTTATGTTGCAATGTGTCTAGGATAATGTATCCACAATGTGTAGTTACACTAATGTTTAATGTTCTTCCCTTGTTTACCGTTTTACAGTTGCGGCAGCCACATCAAAAATATAGTTTAGCAAAATCAGCGATCCGCGATGGCAGTTCAGGTCAACACTTTAAGTAAAGAACTATTAATCTTTTATTACATTCATAGATTTACGTTACGGTTTAGCTAGCGTTAGCTATGTGGATCATTTAGCATTAGCCAACGAAACGCTAAAGCTATAGTTAGCAAGCGACTGTGTTACGTTTGCCAAACAAAAAAAACGTTGTTAACTAAATCAACGATTAGAAGAAACTTTCCACAACGAATCAAATAGCTGTAGAATGTAACAGCAATTGTAACAAACGAGTTGTATGTTAACAATGTAATGACTGAGATCAGGGCCACGTCTACAGCTAACTGCTAGCCTCGTTAGCGTAGCTAGCCGAACTCACACGTCGCGTTCTGCTCCGGACACGTCTAAGCTTCTTGAATGACACAACTTACCATTTGTCATATTCAGTTTGCTTTTGACGAGGTATGATGACTGTTTCCTAAATTAGCAATCCATTATGTAATATAAAGTGGAGATGCAGCGGCCCGCTTCGTAGTCACTCGGTTGACATTTCCGGTTTCAGTAATTTCGCTAATTTCTCGTTTTACTTTTCTAGCATTACTGCCACCTTCTGGAATGTACAGCTGCGTGTACAGCACCACGCTAGAGACATTTAACTATGGATCAAATTGTGTCCATGTGTTTATTTCTGTTTGAAAGTTAAATTTGATAGAAGGGCTGATTGGTGTGTGGCAGGATAGTTGGTGTAACTTGGCATCCTTTGATCGATACAAATGAGCCTGCATCATTTCATTTTTCAAAAGGAATTTTGCAAATGGAATTGACTTACTTGCCAGCTGTTCTTCATTCAATTATAATTCAAATTGGGTCTTCGAAATAGAAGACAGAAGATTAAATCAAACTATAGTCACTTTAAACGTCACTTGTATGATAACACTTCAACTTAAAAGGGATAAGACATGTTTTGGTGGTGTTCCCTTCTAATCAGTCAAAGGTACGACACCTTTGACGGGATCCCTGCAAATCTCTCATCAGGGGGCCAGTGCTCCCGCTCTCTTCTGACGGATTAAGCAAAAATATTGTAGATTACATCTACAACATCAATAAAATGTAGGTTGTGGTTCTTTATGAAGCAAAATAAAGAGTAAGTAGAGCAAGTAGTAACCATATTAGAATTGAGCATCTTTGAAAAGGCATACACCTGTCTACTGTGTATCTTTATTTGTAAAACTATAAGCATTTGTATAATGGATAAAAATATTTTGGTTACCTTACATCTCCATTTAGCGATCCATATTGTTATCGTTATTGTTATTAGATAATCAGATGTATATTGCCCAGAAGAGAAATACTACAACTTGTATATATTTGACTGATATATACACCTACAACTAATGGACAATGGTACATTTATTTTTTCAATAAAACATCAAGTACCATGTACATAAAATCAAACTGCATTGCAATCTGCTAGTGACAAAAGTGAGAAAAAAAGTCAGGTTATAATAAAAAAAAAAAAACTTAAGTTTGGACATACAGTTTTCCAGCATTTACAACTAATGGTGCTTCAACTGCCTGTCCCCTTTAATCAATACTGTACACATTTTATACGTTTTGGGACGCAGCTGCTGACAAGATATTTTACCTGAACTTAACCTATCAGCAAAATAAAACATAACAATGATTCATTGAACAATGATTTTTGGACTATTTCTTTTTTTTTTTAAAGTGACCAAGTGCCAGCTGTTAGTCCATATCAAGTTTCGCCATCTGAATTTGTGGTGTGGTGCAACCAAAGAATTCCAAATAACTTGATATTTCAACACAATACAGGTTTTGACTGAAACATTGATGTGGGACTGTTTCCTTGTAAATGTAAATATCCTCATCTAGGATCCTGTAGAAGGAATAAGGTCTGCTGAATAAAGACATTCAACCGTTTTCTCTCACTTCTTCTTTCTTCCAAACACATTAAACCTTCTTGTACTACCATAAACAAAAGTTTTAACTTTAAAAACAACATTTCTTGCCCATTTATTCCATGAATTATACACAACTCCAACCCAACAACTTTATAACTACAAATGCAACTCACAAGCAGCAACCACAGCTACTGTGCTTCTGTCCCAACTTAACACCAGTGTGTGCTGCAGAATAAATTAACAATAAATAAAATAGCAATATGAATTGCTTTCACAAAAATTGTAGACATCATTGCAGGGTAAGATTCTCTCGTCTGCATGTGTCTGTACTATATACACACTATACTGAAATAACCTTAAAACATATCCCATAGTATGGGAAAGATATTTAGCAGGACGTACATCAGAAAAAGCACAAACAGGGAAATAGGCTCCCAATGTGGTAAACTGGAGGTAAGGAGAGCGCTGAAATGAGCATGGGTCCAAATAACAAGGCCGAAGGAGTTTATTGGCTGAAAAAGACACAAGGCTGAAGTTGGCTTCATGGCTTGAGAGTTACATAACTCTATAAACTCTAAATACATAAATAGTTAAGGCTTAGATGTTGTAGAAAACTGAAAAGTGGGACTTCATTACTTGTACTCTGTCCGAACAGTATTAAACCAGGTTGAGATAAAGAAAATAATAAATGAACTTCACATATGAACCACATTAAAATTGCGACTGTACAAAATCCACAATACTGATAATAGTCAAACTTTTCTAAATGAACGTGAAAACTCAGTTAAAAAAATCTGAAATAGGCGTTTTTGTTACCTACTTTGTTGTCTGATATAGCAACATGTAACATGAATAAATTAAATGTCGTAACACTGGAGTATTGGTCAAAAAACATAATCATCATTTTCCCTATTTGAACAATATGAAACAGAAGCCAACTTCAGGTTCTTGTAAAAAAGAAAAATCAAGGAATGCCATCCTTTCTTTGGCAGCACTGTGAAGGTGGCACACTCCAGTCATACACATAGGACAGTCGCAGCTTGACCTCCTCCTTGCAGAGCCTGCCATCACGCTGCAGAGTCTGGTGTTTTTCCAACATGTCCTCCAGACTCTGCTTATGTGTCACCAAGTATTTATTGTTGCAACCACGCGATTTATACTCTGTGTCAAAGCGTGGGTCATGTGTCCTCCGAACATCTACTGGTGCCAGCCAGGCGCCCAGCGACACATCCTCACTCTGCCATGTCTTGAAGTAGCCCGCAGTAAGATGCACGTAACGGACCAGGTCAGCCGAGAGGATGTAGCCCCCGCCCAGTGCGTAGGGCAGGTAGTAGTCACAAAGCTCCCAAGAGCTTTCCCGCCACTTCCCAGCGGTTTTCACTCGCCCTCTCCCAGAGAAGAAGCCCCAGTATAACCTGTTGGGCTCTTTCCCCTTCAGCTCCTCCTTGAGGAGGTCCAAACGAGCAAATGTGTCATCATCTGCTTTGAGGACAAACTTGAACTCCACATTCTGGTCCAGCCAGGAGTACATGTGCAGCAGCTTGAGTGTTAAATTCTCGTAAGAATCTCGCAAGTTAGGCAGTAGGAGCAAGTCCTTGTGGCGCCCTTGCTCTGTGTTAAGGTTCTGAAGGTCCTCACCGGATAGCCCTTGGGTTCCAACCACAAACATAGCCAGAACATCAGACTCCTGCTTGGCCAGCCAGGTGCTGCGGATGATGCTCCTCCGCTCCGTGTACTTGGGTCCGGTTGTAATCAGGACCACCAGGAACGCCGACTTGTCTTTGGACGTGTCAGCATGATTATGAGTCTCTGTGTTGGATTGCACAGCAATGGCACGGGGGGCTAGGCCTGGAGGATCCTGGTGGCCCTGTTTCAGGGTTTCTGAGGTACATTTAGCCAGGAAGACCAGAACCACGGCAAAGCTGCACACAGTGCCAATGACCAGGGCTGTCTTGTGGCGGCACACTAATCGTAACAGATTCATGGTGCCGAGTCTGAGGGTGAAAAACACAAAAGATTGTTATTGTTGTTCAAATTATCAAGTTAATCATCAAAACATCAAATTAAAACAAACCATACATGCATAGGGGGGCTAACAGGCATTTGTGCAAAGGGTTTTGCTCAAATGCCTGTGTTCATTTTATGACAAATTTCAAGTCTGACTGAAAATGCACAACAGGGTAGGATATTTGCAAACGTAAACAAATCGTTATCAGCACCAGAAATGATGTCAATATTACTAAATGGCATTAAATTGGTCTTAGCACCGTAGCAATTTCTACGTTTTGTTGCGTTTGAATCAGAGGAAGCTCACGAGCAAGTTAGCACAAATAGTAACCTGACATCTGCTGCACAGACATGCCTTTGTAGCGCCATGCCTGCGAGTTTGAACTGTAGCTACACGACGTTGCAAGCAGGTACAGAGGATTTGTTTATAGTTACCTTAGCTAATTCAAAAGTACCCTTCCCGTGAATGAAACACTCAGACCTATGGCAGCTTTGTAGAGCTAACGCTAGCTACCGAGACAAGACCCCCTGCGCACTTTTCGAGCTCACGCTACTGGACGCAAACGCACACCGTTTGCTCATATTGGTCGAAACGGGGGATGGAAACCAGAGTCTTAGCGGTACGTTTAGTGGTAACGTGGGTTACAGCCAGCAGGTAATCTTGGTCGCTGGGGGAGTTCAGCCAGGTATCCGTCTATTCATTTTGTGTATTTTATTGTCACGTTAAACCACATCAGTTACGTGTAGCAGTGACGAAGCGGAAACGGAAGTGAAGCCCCGTAAAATGGGAATAAAATAAATAAAAAAAAGATATGCGTCTTCTTTATACAACTGTTGTTGTTTTTATAACATAGAGAATAACTAAATACAGAATAATAGTGAAAGGAAATGGACGAACCCCAGGACAATAACCTTTCCAAGAACTGATATGACATCCCAATCAAACTTTCCACTATGTAAAAAATAATGGAATGGTGGAGCTTTTTTCTTGTGATCTCATATGGTATATATAATAATAAATTGTTTTATTAATAAGAATTTAATAGAGATAATTAAATGAAAGGAGAATCGTTTGTGGACAGCTGCTGGCCGACGCATGCGCGATGTTTCCAGTTTGAGCATCAAGTTAGGAAAGATAGCCTAAACAAGGCCGAGCGTTAAATCGTTTGCTTCAAAATAAAACACATTCGGTAACTGGATTTCTGTAGGTGCAATACACTTGTTTGGATACGAATGCCAAATTATTTCATACAGTACACGTTCCTCTTTTACTTCAATGGATAAATCAAGTGTATTAAATATTATGCATCAGAGTTCTGTTGAAGGGGGGTTCTATTTTGAAAAAGGCAAGCGGAAGGTTCACGTTTCATTGCGGTCATGACGCCCCGGGGTTGCCTTAGCTAGAAATATAATTGCCTCATGATAGTAAAACAGCATGTCGTTTACATCTAACCTTAAATTGCAGACGTCCACAGACCGTACCTCGTCACGTCTTAGCTGGATATATTCGTCCGGAACAGAGTAGCTGTGTCACGTTACTCTACCGGGCCGCTCGGGAGCTAACTGACGTTAGCGGTGGACGAGCTCAGCCCAAGCGATGACGCTTCGGAGAATCCGCCGATACCCTCGGACACTTCTGCTCGCCATATTTCTTCTAATTTTGAGTGTGCAGTTGGTGAAAGCCGCATCTGAATATGACCCCTACAAAATCCTGGGTGTCAGCAGGAGTGCGAGTCAGGCGGAAGTGAAAAAGGCGTACAAGAGCCTCGCCAAGGAATGGTGAGTGACTTGACACCAGGTCTCCTGTGTAAGGCCAGCACGTCCTGACTGGAGCCGATTAACCCCCTACTCAGTTTACAGGGTAAATTTAACACCTGGATCGGTGCTTGGTATCCCACCAACCTACCTACCAAACGCTGGTCTGAGAGCACGCTTAACCCCGCATGACCATGGTGGTGATTCACGATGTCCTGTTTGGCCTCTCTAGGCATCCAGACAAGAACAAGGACCCTAACGCCGAGGACATGTTCATCAAGGTGTCGAAATCGTACGAGGTGGGTGAAAATGCATCACAACACATCATGTAACGAGACTCTATTTCAAACTAGCTCCACCTGACATCCAGTATTTTCTCCAGGACTCCGTTTCACTTTCTGTGTAATGGCCTTTCTGCAATTGTTACAACGTTTAAACGGCATAGGCCTCCCACGTGTGTCTTTAACGTGCACTTGCACACAGATCCTGTCCAACGAGGAACGAAGGTCCAACTTTGACCGCTATGGGCAGATGGATGAAAACCAGCAGTTTGCCCAGTCACAGCATCAAGGTTTCCGCGGCTTCCACAACAGCTTTTATTTTGATGAGTCTTTCTTCCATTTCCCCAGGTAAAGCCTTAGATTGGTGTTGTCTGTTGTTGAAATAGTTAAAATTCACTCACGTGATTCTTAAACTTGTCCCATTGTGGCATGATTTGCAAGGTGCTATTGGTAGAGGAGTACTGTCAAAATCAAAGCACTAACATGCTCCAGCCCAAATCCTGTAAGGGAAAAAGTCAATTTTTTCCTTTTTCTATAATTGTGAATCGAATTCATTGTGTACTGTTGTTCAAGCAAAACAAGCAATTATTAAAGACATCAACTTGAGTATGGCTTACAAGTTCACCGTCTGCTTTCCGATCTTCCTCCTCCAGGTCAAGGGATTTCGCAGACAGCAAGTACTTGCTTCACCACGGACAGTTTAACACCGATGTCCTTCCAGACAGCCACAAGAGGCCATACCTGATCAAAGTGACCTCTGAGTGGTGCTTTGCGTGCATCCACATTGAGCCTGTGTGGAAGGAGACTGTGCTGGAGCTGGAGCCACTGGGTAAGTCTGCCGGAGCAGGACTCCCAGCAGTCCGCCCCCGCACTCTCAGGATCAGAGTTTGTTTTCCCAAAAAAGCATCATAACATAAGGTTGATGTTTGCTCAGTGGCAGACCATTAGGACAAATAGTTGTTCCAAATGTTAAGATGCTTTACAAAGAGCCAGCCACTTAATGAATTATTCATTAGGGTATATTTGTTCTTCTTGGTTCCGGTAAAGCCAAGGGAAGAATTGGACTCTTATTGGTCTGGCATGGGAGATGAATTTAAAGTTGTTGAGTTAATTCTGATAATTAGAAGACCAGTTTCCAGTCCCCTCAGACCATTCTGAGCCTGTAATAAGTAAGTGGCCTGCCCTGGAAACACATCCTGAATATGTATGTACTCCATGGCTTTGCTATGCTAAAGTCATCAGCCAGTCTCGAGTCACTCGAGGAAATGTGTTTTGTTGGAACTCGAGACCTTACAGTAGGGGATATCAGCTGGACCTATGGGAAGGTGAGCCAGGACCGGGGTGAGGGCGAGCATGTGAGTTTGTCTTAAAGCCCGGGAATGTCCAGGGGGTCCACTCGGGTCACTAGGCCCACATCCGTAAAACCGATGGATCTCGCGTCTGCGTTGGGAGAAATCCCACTATGCCCTGATTGCATGTGAGAACGTCCCTGCAGCGACGGGGTAGGCCTCTCCCTGAGTTAATCTTGGGGGGTGGGGATCACTTAACTTTTTTGGTTGTTTGTGTAGAAATCAAAACAAGCACAACATACACCTCTCAATATAATGCAGACCTCCATGTTGAAAACCTATGTTTGAAAAAACACCTCGGGGACTATGTGTCCAAAAAAAGAACAGTATGGATGTTATGGCTGGACTGTTGTATTGCATTCAATTGTAAAAGTGAACCCAAAGAAGGTCACAGAGTGTATATTTGGGTTTCTAGCGGCTCTGGATATCTGGTTGCGCATTAGACACGTCAATAACAGGACAAATGTATACAACAAGACATAACTACTTGTATAGGTAGTTTCTTTAAGTTTAAAGCTATTTAATAACATATTTCCTGCACAAAAATAAGTAAATTAACTAACGGCCAAGACCGCAGATTCATGCAATATAGTCAGTACAGGCGCGCCCCTGCCCACAAAGCAGACAGTCGCGCTGCGCTTTTTAAAATTTTTTATTTTTTACATTCAAATATTAATTTTCACATTTTATTTATATATATATATATATATATATATATATATAGGCTCATTCAAATGAGAAACGACTAAATGTCAGGAGGCAATGAGCTCTCTCTTGCATGTATTGGTTTTATTGTCCAAGAAGATTGGACTAACACTACCTAAAACATTGTTCAATCTTTTACGTAGTGTTAGACGGTGGCAGGTTCCTTTGTCACAACGGCAGGTTGGATGGTTGGTTGCGGTGGTTGGTGGTAGGATCCTTTTTCAGAACGACATAAGCCGATCTCAGTTGGGTATTTAGTGACATGCAAATTCCATGTAACGTTAAATGAGTATCTTCATAACCATGGGTTTGGCGTAAAAAAAGCAGATCACAGCGACCTGCAAGTAGCGCAGCATCTTAAATAAAGTGATGTGTGTGTCTTAATGTGAGGCTTTAGAAATGAACACAAAGGGATTCTGTATTTCCTCATAATGTCTGAAACAAGTCATTTGGCCAATGTTTTGATAACCGACCAAAGCCAGCGGACACCCTACTACTCCCCCCAGCCACAATAGCAGTCTATTTTTACTGTCGCATCAGGTGTTGGTATTGGCATTGTGGACTTGGGTTACGAGCGTCGTCTGGCCCACCAGCTGGGAGCTCACCGCGCTCCCTCCATCATCGGGCTGGTCAATGGCAGGGTCAACTTCTTCCATCAGGCTGTGGTACGAGAGCACCTGCGACAGTTCATTGAGGACCTGCTGCCCCAAAAACTGGTGGAAAAGGTAAGAGACCTCGATATACTACGCACTGTTATTTAATTCAACAAAAATGTATTAATGAATGATAATGATTCCCATTGTTTCCCCAGATCACCGATGACAACTACCGTGTTTTTCTGGATAGCTGGCGTGTGGAAAATAAGCCCAGCGTTCTCTTGTTCGACCAAATCCCTATTGTTCCCCTACTCTATAAAGTAAGCAATGTGTTTACACACGGGCACACAGATGTTGCACCAATTAGACAAAACGTTATAGTCCAAAACAGAAAGCTGTTAAAGCGATTTACACCAGTACACAAGAGAGCAGATAGATTGGACCCGGATGTAACCCCAGAAGCTTCTGTTCAACATTTTACTAGAACCATCAAGTGCACTCACAATATTGTTACTTCATTTCAATAAATGTGTTAGAGACTCAAAGACAATTTCAGGGACAGTTGAAAGAACACAGTTTCAACCAATCACATATCCGAGTCATAACTATTTAATGTACTGTATATGGTTGTGAGAAGCAGCAGAAGCAGCTTTCCGCCTATTTTTTGTAGAACTACTCTCATCTTCCCACTCCCGCTCCAGTTAACAGCGTTTGCCTTCAGAGACTACGTGCGTTTTGGCTTTGTGGACCAGGGTGACACGCACAACATTCAGCTACTGCGGCAGTTCAACATAAACACCTACGCCCCCACCATGCTGCTGTTTAAGGAGGACTCCGAAAAGCCTGTGGACATCATACAGGTACAAAATTACAGAACTGATTCAAGCTTCTAAAGAGGTGTCTAAAATTGTATTTAATTGTTCAAATCCCCCCGCGATTCCACTTCAGGCCAGAGGGATGAAGCGACAGATAATGGATGAGTTTGTCTCCAACAACAAGTTCCTGCAGGTGCCTCGGCTGGTCAACCAGCAGCTCTTTGATGATCTGTGTCCCGTCAAGCAGTTTCACCGACGGAGGAAGTAAGTCGTTTAATGAGTCCTCAGTGGAGTGAAATATACGCAAAGCCTGATTTGACCGTTAACTTGGTATGACCACTGTAAGATGTGGAAATCCAAACCGAATAGTCATACAGGTCTTTCAATGGTTGTCACTCCGAACTGAAATGTTGTGTTGGTGGATTGACCGTAATTGGTTTGCAGGTACTGTGTGCTGTTGATCACAGGGGATGACCAAGCCTTTCACCCGGGCAATAAGGCCTTCCTCGAATTTGCATCAGCCAACAAAAAAGACGTGCTGCGGTTCGCTTACGTCTACCAGCGCCAGCAGCAGCCTCTCTGTCAGGCGCTGCTCCACAATCAGGCTGCCCTCTCGCCTCAGGTCAGTGGCGGAAAACATCAAATGCATCACAAATGGAAAAAAACAACAACTGCCCTAAACTAATGTTCAGGACAATGTGCATTTGCTATAACTTTTTCTATTCACTTTTTCTATTCAGCACATTCAGAATTTATTACATGTCCGATCAGCACCATAAAGCTCAGCATTTTATCACCACTGACAGGTGGTGATTCTGGAGAGGCGGAGCCATGCTGGCAAGGTCATGTACCGCTCAGTGAGTGGTGGCTGGAACGGCAGTGAGGAAGATAAGTATCACCTCCACGAACAGCTGGAGCTCCTTCAGAAAGACCCCACCTATCTGAGATCAGATGCCACCCTGCCAGAGCTGAACAACGAGATGGCCCCTGTAATGCTCTGCAGATACATACCTTAGTTCAACTTAAAAATTAACTGAAGGTATTTTTGATTAATCTCATTGTTGTCTGTTTCTTTTTCAACGTAACCAGATTTTAATTATTCAGTGGATGAACTCCGCCTATGATTACATCGTTCAAATATATGATGACCTCCTCTACTCAAACTGGTAAGACAACACAGAGAAAGACAGAAGCATGATTCAGCTTCAGAGAAAGTACATGTTGTCTGTTTCAATATTGCATAATAACCTGATGGGGGCTCTGTAGGCATGCATAGTTTGTCCCATTGTAGCACTCGATACAACCATACACAAATGTAGCTACAATTATAGGATAAAGGGAGACTGGATGAAGTGTTATTGTTTGGTAGGGCCTGCTAGTTGTTTTTGCCTAAATGTTTAAGAAATTATTATTTTTTCTGTCCCCAAGGCGAGAGATGATGCCCATTCTGTCGTTGATCTTCTCCGCTCTCTTCATTCTTTTTGGCACAGTCATCATTCAGGCCTTCAGGTGAGCGTGGAAAGATCCTTTTTTGTTTTAAACAACAATGAATAACTCACAACAAACACTTCTTTAATAGGGTAAAACACCACGACACAACAGCTTGTGACATAATTTGTAATAATTATACATTTATAAAAAGTACCCCGCCGAACTGCATGCTGGGTACAGCTCACAACAAGAACTCTAATGCTACATGAAAACACGGTATAGGCCGATACAGGAGGAACAACGAGAGACCAAAGATGCACCAACACAACTGGTGCCCAAGAGAGGTACTGCGTCTGTTTGGAGGGGTTTGTTAGAAGTTATGTTAGATCAGAAACGATTTATTGCAAAGTCTGTCTAGCTTGTGGTGGCAACGCTTGCAGCCAGAACAAGCTAACCCGCTAACAAGGCCTGCGAGTGGTTCGGGTAGCCGGCGAGTGGCGAACAACTGTTCGGGTAGGCGGTGTTTTTTCAAAAATTAAAACTTCGGACAGACAGAAGACATCTTGGATTGAAGAGTTAAAATCCAAAGTATTTAATAAAGGAAAGGGTGTTACACCTGTATTCTAGTGTACACTAAATGGATTTTATTAATTAATTTATGAACCGGGTCGTCAGTTTATTTCTAATACTAAGAAAACACAACAGCAAATAGAAAAATACAATGACAAATAAGAAAACACAACGACATTAACTTCTCACGGAAAGGGTAGGGCCTATCTAGCAGAAGACGGACCCTTCTGATTCAGTCAGTCCGTCAGTCCAATCAGAAGGGCCCGATTCCTCAGTTTTGTCAGATGTGTCATCTATGCTTCTAATACCAAATAGGGGCATGATTTGTTTTAGCGTAACATTCGACCCAATATGATACTCATGCTCTAACACATTCTGATCATAACATGCAAAAACCCTTTGGGAATAAAACAAGGATGGAATCTGTCTGAAAAGAAGTCGGAAAGACTGAAAAATCGTCTCCCACATTTCATCACGTATTTCCTGTGTATAGTATAAATTGACAAATAAAACCATATGTCATCATGGGGCTGGTCTTCTTGGATGAGTGCATTGGTTATGACTGATAAGTCCTGATGCAGGGGGATTCAACAGCATCCACCTAGGAATAGAATGCTGGTCATAATGGAAACTGTTACAACAATTGTTTACATTTACTAAATCAGGAGTCCAATAACCCTGAGAAGGTGATGTCAATGTCACTGTTCTCTGATAGTTCTTCAGTGAGCGCTCTCAGCAGTGGTTCTCCTCCATTTGGGAGTGACGGTCGTTTCTCAACCTTTCTCAGGGTGTGTCTTATGCTGAATGGTTGCTGTTGCTTCTGTCGATGGGGTATGTAGGGGGGTTTGGAAACTTGGAAGTGTCTGCACTGGAAACTGATGGCTGTGATTTGACCTGTGGGTCTGAGGTTATGCTTGTGCTGGGCTGGGCTGTCGTTGTCCCCCATTAGTGTGAGGTGGTCTGGGAACTGGACTCTCCCACAAGAAGGGAGATTGAGGGGTCATTTGGACCCTTTCTGAATCTGTCCTAGTCTTGCTTCTGGTCCTCCTAGAACGATGCTGGTCTTGCTTCGGGTCTGGCTCTGCTGTGCTGGTCTGGCTTCTGCAGTCCGTCCTGGTGCTTACTTCTGGTCCTGCACTGCGGTCAAGCAGACTCTTGGCTGAGGAAGTCCTTCCTCTCGCGGCAAGATCACGGGTGTCCGGTCACTGCTCACGGTTTCCTTAGGTGCCGCTCAGGTTGTGGACATGAGGGCTCTCCTCTTCAGTGCCATGCTGGGTCATACCCCTCTGCACCAGTATAGGTGCATCTTCCAGATCTTGTTTGTCTGACTTGAAACTCATTAGACACCCCCATTGGTATTCCCATAGCTTCCATTCTACCTATTGATGTGGCCTTTAGGTAATGTAGTTTATTTAAGTCTTGGTGCTGCATTCCGTTCTGTTGTACACTGTCTATAGTTATGTTTTGTTTAACCGAGACTATACTGTTGTTATCTTAATAAGTACAATTCAATGGAAAGCTGATTCTTACTCTGCTAGAACGTTATACACAGGGAATCACGTATGTAATCTATAAGTTTACGTTTACCCTCAACCGGTTGAGGCCACCTATACTAGGTATCCATTCTTCCTTCTATGACTGATCAGTTAAATAACGCCTCTCATTCGCTTAACGTTACACAACCGAGCTTTGTCTGTAACTCACACAAAAACGTCCATTCAAAACACAATGTGCTTTTTATCACAACGCTCATTCAAAGCAGAGAAAAAAATTAATTCCCCTAAAATTTAGTGTACCTCGAAACATCGTATTTTTTTCACTCACACTTAAATGTTCTATGATGAACTATACAGCATTCGGTTTTAAAACAACAGGCTGCTGTTTACCTTATTCGATGGTGTTGTGTGAGCTGAAGAAAATACAATTGTCTGGATTCTTTGTTCAGTGTCAGTGTATTTCTAATATTCTACACCGGCGAGCGACAAACAGCTGTTCGGGGAACCGGAGAGCAAACTTCGCAGCCACATGCTAACAAGCTAACTCGCCGGCCAGTTGCGAGCAGGTTGGCCAGCGGAGAAAGGCTGTTCGGGTAGCTTTGGTCCTTTTCGGGATCAATGAGTTAATGTGTTTACTTGAAAAGGCAATACCGTGATATACCGGTATACAGTCAGAATCTTTCTAAATACCGCCATATGGATTTTTGGCCATACCACCCAGCCCTAATTTGTATTGTATTTTTTCTACATGGTTCATTCTTGGTGTTGAAATCAAGTCATGGCTGGTTAGCTGCCAATACTGATCATTTTCTTTTCGGGGTTCTTGTTTTAGTGAGCCAGGTGAGAGCAAACCCCGGAAACCGAAGCCAAAAGAACAACCACAACCTGAAGAGGATGCATCAAGTAGAGGCAGTACTTCAAGGTGACCACATGATGGATGCAGAATACACCAGAGAACAGCAGGCTGGGGGGGGGTTGCTTTGCTCTAACTTGACATCCTTAAGTTGTCAAAGCAGCTATAACCACCCGAGAAACGTTCTCATCAATAATTAAACATGCCTTTCTAGAGTAGTGTTAAGAAATTTTCTGTAAAAGTAATCCACCCCCCCCCTCCTCATCACTGGTCCATGTAGCCGGCCTCCTAAGAAGGACTTTGTGGAGGTGACTGAGCTGACCGACATAACCTACATCAGCAACCTGGTCAAGCTGAGGCCTGGCCACATCAACGTCGTCCTGGTGCTCACCAACGCCTCCAAGAATGCTCTGCTCAGGAAATTTGCCAAAGAGGTCTTTTCTTTCTCTGGGTAAGTCTCAGTGCTCCACAACATTCAAAGAAGTTTATATTATCATTTGTTTCCATTATTTTATTCATTTAAAAAAAAGTTGTGAACTTTGACTATGGCAGAACATGGTTTGTGCTTTTAAAGAACTGTTGCCAAGTCTGTGTCTACTTGTTTCAGAGATATTGCAGTTGTTTGTTTACTTTGTATTATCCTGAACCCCTCTGCCACCACAGGACTCAGACTCTGCACTTCTCCTTCCTCAACGCTGATAAGCACCGCCACTGGATGCCATCACTCCTTTGCTCAACCTCCGGCGCTATGCGGAGAGAGGTCCATTCGGACGAGGATGAGGAGTCTGCAAACTACGCTGGCCACGTCCTGGCCCTCAATGGCCACAAGAAATACTTTTGCCTCTTTAGACCCGTCTTCACAGGCGACAATCCCAACGACTCCTCGTCCGAGACCTTGTTCTCCTCTGACAGCAGGAGAAAGTCCCGGCCCCGGTCCAGGTCCAGCTCCCACTCTCGATCCAGGTCCCATTCCAGGGAGGATGGAACGGGACCAAAGAGAGGCTCCAGCAGGGCCACCAGCATAGAAGTCCACCACAAGCTTGACAGGCTGGGACTGTGGATGGAGAGGCTAATGGAGGGCACCCTACTCCGATTACAGGTCCCTGCATGGCCCTCCCTTAGTGAAGCCGCTAACTCCTTCGCAGAGAGCTGAAGTCAAAGTAACAAAAAAAGGTTGGATGGTACTTTGAGGACGCGTAACCACAAAGTGTTACGCGTCCTCATTACGTTCTTCAGCAAAAAATCTACAGAACAACTTTGCAGTTTTTAAAACATTCAAGTTTCTTTACGCAGAGGTAGTTTGTGTATGCAGTGAACTGTTGACCCAATTATTTGATCAGTTAGATGTTGGAATTTGAGGGTATAGAGTAGTGTGCTTCCGCAAAACCTTTAAAATGTGCATATTGTATCAAAGGTACAAAGTCTGCGCTTCATAATGCTTTGTGTTCTTTGTCCAGAGATGGAAAGATGAAGAAGAAGAGACTATAGGAGCACAGCAAAGGCTGTAGAAAATTAATTCACTGTCAGTTTTCACACAAATAGAGATCCTGTAGAAGGCGCTGTACTTATTCCCCAAAACCAGACAACGAGCACCATGGTGCAGACAAAGGCTGCAGCTAGCTGTGTGTGTTTCACATTAGCTTTTTGTGTTCTTTTTCTTCCTTTTTTAATACTCGTCTCAGTAAGATGTGGCTTCGAGCCCATTATGAGTTTTTTAGCTGTAGTAAAACTGAGCTTGATGAACTAAAGTTTATAGGCCAATATTTGTCTCTTTAGGAGCATTTAGTTAAACTGGATTGTGGATTTCTGCTCTTATAGATTCAACATTTTTTTCCAGGCAAAAGGACAGAAAAATTCAATCAACTCACATCACTCCATATACTTTACATATAAAAAGTATCCTTTTAGAATTTGGTTAATTATTGAAATAGAATCTTTCCTTAGGGTTTTCAGCTCAGGCCAAGTTGACATGTCATGCAGCTGTTTAGAGATTTAGCATTAAATATGGTACCAGCCAAATTACTGATGAAGCCAATTAAGCCAATTATCATCCGGCAGTGGTACCCTAAATGTTTTTGTCATACACTTGCAGTTTTATTTGGGACTGGTTTCACTTTTTTTTTTTTTAAGTTCATGTTGATTGTCTGTATCGAGGGTAAAAGATAAACCTTAATATTACACACTTGCCCTTTTTTACGCCTTTGCCCTTAAACTACTGTAAATATAAATGCATGGAATATGTAGACCTAAAATCACTAAATAAATGTTTGAGTTTGCACAGGCAGCTGAAATGCTTCACACCGTCTCTCCCCTCCTCTTACTTTGTAGTGCATAATTTGCTGCTTGACAAACAATATTTGCAGCACACTAACCTGTATTCTGTATTTTTCATCTTGTATGCTCTTTGAACTTATTTTTTGTTTATATCCCATTGTGAGAAATGTAAATTATTAAACTCATTTTAAAACTGTTTATTTATTAAAGTGTCTGGCTATGATATATACTATTCTGTGTTGCTTCCTCAAACTAAATCTGTATCTACAACAAGATGAGCAACATTTCATATTATAATGGAAGTAATTACATGGATCACTAATTAAAGCACAATGTATTTTCCAGCTACAACTCTGACGTCTAGCTTCACGTGTATAGTAATATGAAATTATATATAAAATAAATATGTAAAGTTCAGCAGATAATTACAGAGCAAAAATGAACCATAAATAGAACTGCTGACCATGAAAAATGAGCATGTTAATTATACACAGTGAATGTCAAGTATACTAGGCGTCTGTGAGCGTTTCAAACTCTTTCCTCATGTACAGTTGTTCAGGGCCGAAGGAGACCGGTAGCAGTTCGTCCACAGTCATTCTCCGGTACGAGCTGTCAGGCTTCGATAGGTACACATCCCAGTTTGATCCAAACTGTGAGGGAAATGTCCAAAAATTAAATATGATAAGTAGTAAGTCCTCTCACAGAGCATCACTTCATCCCTGATTGTAAACTACTTATCCTTGAAAAATTAAACCAAACCAGAGATTTCACCTCTCTTATGAACTGCCTGCAGCCGCCACACGGGGTGATGAACTGGTCACTCAGGTCACTGCAAGCAACACAAGGAAAAATGTAGTTAAGAAACGAAGGTGTTATTTAGCACAAATACATTGTAGCCTTTGTTGTTTTTGGGTGATGGTGCGAGTTCACTATAGATCTTTTCTACCAAAGCCGTTCTGTTCTTAATAGCTTCCTCACATGTCTAATTTCCACCTGATCATCTTGAGATTTATCCAATGATCTGTTGCTCATTATGATTCTACATGTCGATTGCTGCTCGACAGAGACTCACATCCAACTTTTTCTCACTTTTTGGTAAACCAACTGTTGAACTTTTACCAAAGTTTTACACAAAACAAAAATGTGTGTTGTGTGAAACAATGGGGGAGTTCGATAAGGTACCGCGGTGTGCAGAAAGAACATGAACACTGTGTCATGGTTTGGTATTAAAGTAACGTTGACACAGCATGTTATATGCCAACATTACCTTGAAATTGCAATTGCCTTGAAACTTCTGTGGCCTTCTGACACAGCTTTTGAGATAGCATTCCTTTCAGCACACACACCCAGGTTGTAACATGCATTCTCCACATTGCAACCTGCCAGGGACACAAGTACAGTCATTAGTTATCTAACTGCATTTGCTTCAGAAAAAACTGAAACTTACACAAAAAGAGGCCTTTTTGCAGGTGGTTGTCTGTTTAATTATTCTCTCCTGGTCTCACAGTTACTCAACAGGTCATTGACTTTTCCCACTGAGCTACATGTGACTTTGAACAGGCGAGGTTGCAGGAAAGTTGCTTCTATGCCTCGCTATAGACACTGATTTGACATCCCTGCTAGTGTGTAGATTGCTATTAATGCAAGTCATTGACAAAACATCACGTAAGTCATGGGAAAGTGGAAATTTGTTCATTCAGAGAATGGTTCAAATGTCATCTTTCCTTGATAAGTCCTGTCATTTCAACTGCCTGCTATCAGGCAATCATTAACATCAAACAAGAGAAGAATGAAACAGAAGTTGGGTAAATCCATGACTTACCTTCCTTACCATATGATTTTTAATGCTTTCTCATATTATTTTAAAAGTCTACATAATGGCAAATAACGTGATTTATTCGTTTTAGGCAAGCATTTCAAGCTTCTTGTGTATCTTACCTGTAATCACACAGTTGTCTAGCGTCAGGAGAGCGGCTCCCACTCTGAATTTGCTGTAAGGACAGTAGGCTCGCTGCTTGGCCTCCTGAGATCGCTGGATCAGCATCTTGACAGTTTCCTCTGACAATTGTCGAGGGCTGTGGTCCTTAATATGCATTACACCGCAGTTGAACTCGACTTGATCCATGACTGCCCTCGATGGCTGTTTTGGAGTTGGTGAAAAAGTCATTGTAGCTCAGCTTTAAATAGGAACGTGTGCAGTGGGAAGGGGGTAGAGGGAGCGGTCCCAGCCAGTCACTGGCCGGGATGTCCAAATGTTGTCATAATGTAATGGGAGGTGGCTTTGTTGATGTTGGCCCTGTATATGAAGTCCAAGGCAGGATGTTGTGACATACGTATATGACTAAACAAGATTTTATTCCTCATTACTTTTGTTTCATATCTTTTTTTTACCAGTAACAGCAGAGACAGTTTTAGAAAAGACTTATCTTTATTGTTGAGTCCTGCTTTTATTTCAATGGAGAAATGGAGGCTTCGAAGACCAAAATCATCAAAATCTGTGAAATGTATTAATACGTTTTCTGGAAAACACCACAACCTAATGAAAGAAGTAATATACAAAGTGCATTTATCTTTATCATGGCATGTCAAACCTTTTTTCACCATAAGCAGTCTCGTCTTTCTGATCATTCAAGTGTTACAAAAACAAAACGTCACTGTTTATATTGACTGGGTTCATACTCACAGGGTGTGTGCTAGAGATTATTTGTTTTTTTGACTAAATGTACCACATACAAGATAACTAAAATATCCAGCAAGGCCTTTGGTTCCTTTAGGATTGACTTGAATCTTCATCACAGTAGAGTTCTAGGTGAGCCTCTTATTAAGAGTCTCTTCAGCTGTTTTGAGTAACCCAGTTGATCCATCCGAGGTAATTTCTGACTTTGGTGTACACGCCCGGGTAGTACGGATTGGCACAACCGATGCCCCACGATACAATGCCCATGAATTTACCATTACACATAAGAGGTCCTCCTGAGTCCCCCTGAGGATGGAAGAGGAAACAGTAAAAATGTTGTATTCAGGTTTGGTTTGTTATTGGTTTGGTATTAACTGGTGGACATGGTATGCATTTAGCGACTAAAGAGCAAGATTGTTTTCCCCCGTATACGTTGGTGAAACAAAAAACAAGCAATAAGGTAAATGTTGAAAGTTTCTAACCAAATTTATGGCAATCTCTCAATTTCTTGGGTTGAAAATCATCCTAAATTTTGCAAGGCCAATGCTGAGAGAGTCGACAGCTTGGGACAAATCCACAGTATGACATTTTTAAAGAAAACGTTCAGTCAAACATAACTCCAAATAAATATGTTTTCTATTTTTATAAGGAGACAATATGTGACTGACGTGCTTCCTTTTTGTTACAATGCCCCCAGGTGGCCAAATAAATCCATAAATGCAGCTTTAACAGCGCCAGAAAAAGAAGTTACTTTTCTGTCACACATTTTGAGAGTAATACGCTCTTCAATCAGGTGGAAGTCTTAAAAATATTTTGGGGGATAACTCTCGGGTAAACGCCGCCTTAAATGGACATCTTATCATAACAGTGATTACAACTTCATGGCTCACCTGACAGGAGTCTCTCCCCCCAGAGAGAGATCCAGCACAGATCATGTTGTCTGTGACCCTGAAGTAGTAGTAATACTGACAGTTGTTAAAGATGTCTACATTGACAGACTTGAGTACGGGGGACAGCTCGTAGCTGTACAGCCAAGTCACACCCCAGCCACTGACGGTGCACTGGGCAAAGTCAGCCAAGGGTGGCGAGTCCGGGTCTGGCAGGGAGGCCGGCTGGACAATGCCGTTGATGTCAGCTGGGCGGTCCAACTGACCCACAGAGAACATATATGTTTCAGGTTTTCAACGCAGACTGCTAATTCTGGATGTAGCAATGTACTTTTTCTATTTTAATGCAAACGTGAGCAGGGTTATTGCTCTTCTAAATGACCTCTGCTGTCAGGGCTATTCACTGATGACTCATTGAAATTGCATACAAACCACGAGTAAAACAGAATAGAACGAATAAAACAAGAAACGACAGAGATGGATGAATAAATAGATTAATGTGAAGCATATTGAATACATTCATTTAGCAGCCTCTCAATCAGGTCTCTTTCAATAGGTGGTAAAGGATTGTGTATAGTGTATTTCAATGACAACATTATTATAGTTTACTGGGAATTCAGTTTCATTAACAATCCACAACATTCCTGAAAACAAAATTCCATGAAAGTGAAGCCTCTAAAAACCCTTTCCATTGAGTCAGTCTCAGTTCAATACTGAGCCAACAAATAGAATGAATAATAAGTAAAGCTCCAGTAAGTACTAGTCATCTTGTCAAAATAGCAAAATAAAACCCATCTGCTTTTACCACAAAAGGACAACTCTATGCCAAGGGTCCCTTGAGAAGCAACGCAAACATGAAACAGCACATACATCATTTAGAAATGTGAATGTACAGCGCTTGCAAGTTTTTTTGCATATTCATCATAGCATTGTTATGTCTACGTCAGCGTTGTGATGCAGGTTACTGACACATGATTTTTGATCCAACGTATAATCAGTGTCTGAAAACAGTTTAATCTTAAGCCCCAGCACGGGAACATCAAGTCTATATCTGCATTAAAATCCTGCGTCACATCCCTTACCTTAAGCAGCATAATATCATTGTCAAAAGTCCAATATTTGTACTGGCTGTGACTGATGACCAAGGCAACTTTGAACCTCTGCTCAGGACCCTCCTGCTTGGTTATGTCATGATCACCCAAGACCACTTGGATCAGGTGACTCCTAGGAGAGCACAGCAGAAGGTAAAGAACAGGAACCGCTTGTCCATCAACTAAAGATTAGACAGTCAGACAATTCCTTCTTATATAAGTTCTGGATCATTTTAAAAACAGCTGTGAGATTCAAATGCAAGGTGCAGTATGTATTTCTATGGTCATTTAGTAAAACCTGTGGCAGACGTAGCACTGCAGTAGCTTACGGTCGCCAGCAGTGGGCAGCAGTCACCACCCACTGCTTGTGGATGAGGGTGCCTCCACAGAAGTGGTAGTTCAAGAACAGGATCGAGGCCTGATACTTGATGGAAAAGGGTTGTACCTCTTCGCCCCCGATGATTCTCGCCCCATGCACACCTAAGAGCCGAGGGGGGGATATAACACACGTGACAGAGAGGTTCTATTCCATAACATGGGAAAAGCTTGCAGCTCCTAGTTTTCATATGGAGTCAGCCCTGTGTGACTGATGGTGTAAAGGTTCAGAAGACAGTATTTATTGTAAATATATTTGATTTACCTGTCGGGTTTACCAAAAGCAGGAGGAGCAGTGATAGGTGACAGAACGGAGCCAGGTTCATTTTAGTGGCTACCAAAAATAAATTAAAAGAATGAATAGTGATGTGCAATCTGTATCCTAATGCAATATTTATCAATGTTCTCATTTTATAGGAGTAAAATGATGCCTTTGTTTGAAGATGCCGTATTGTCAATTCCCAATGATCAAAACTCATTACGAAAAAATGTTTTCCCTCCTGCACATTTAAGGTTTTCCTTCCATAGGATTTCGTAAGGTAAAATCAGTGCTGTCTGTTCAAGTGGTTTGCATTTTAGAATTGCGGTACATTGTCCGAAATGAACTACGCAGGGGAACACTTCACATTAATTGCCTTGCTTCTTCAACTCAGGGAAATAAACAGAAACATATTTTTTCCAACCAGTTTCAAGTTTAAACTCATTCATTTTAAGCGATTCAACTGGTGTAGCTAATGAATACAGTAGACATTCCAACTCAATTTAATTTGTATAAAACTGTCTCACCTTGTCAAGAGTCAAGTAAGAAAACCGTCCAACCATCCATGCAGCGGCATGCACAATCTCACACCCTCATCTACAGTAAGGCTTGTCAGGCCTTTTTTATAATGTATCCAACTGCCTCACTCTCATTGTTCCCAGCCATTATCTGCCGTATATCTAATAGCATCCATACAGCTACTAGAATGACCTAGTACATGATTTTCCCCCCACCTTCTCCTTCATTACATCTTTCTTTCAAAGGCATTGTTCTCATCGATTCAGCCTATTGTTACACTACTGAAATGACACACTATACTCGCTAGACATCCAATCCAATGATGTTACAGATAGTGTGCCAAAATGATGTCTGGATATAATATTTTGGTGCACCCTCTATACTCTCAGCATTCAAACCCTGTTTATGTGATTGGACTGAGTTACATTGGCTGTCTTTAGTGGCTCTCTTTTCCCCTAAAATCGACTAAGAGTCAACATAAAACCATCAAGACCAAACCAGCGCCACAGGCATTTGTTAATGATGCTCAGCCCGATACAGCAGGGATACATTGTAACTCTTGTCTTCAGTCAATCTGCTCTCAGATTGTTCCATCTCCCCAGGTGTCACTCTCAATTAGTTTCCCATCAGTATTTTTTACATTGTTCCCACCCGCGGGGGCATTTGGTCCGTAACTCGGCCTTCATACAGTCTACAATCCCCAGCAGTGAAGGTGTAAGGTGATACTGTCCCCCGTTCTCCCTCAAGTGCAAAGCTGAGATGACAAACAGGATACTTTAGTGTGTGTATGTGTGTGTGCGTCTGTAATAGAGAGTGGGGCAGATGCCCGGTATAAAACTGCATGTGTAGACGTGTGAGTAGGCAGTTTAAAAAGAGCCTGTGTCGCTGAAATGTAATCAATACATGCACACACATTTGCCACATCCAGACTGTGTTGTGGTTTAATCAACAAAGCCGTACTAAATGTTAGTTGCAAGTAAAAACAACAACCGGACACGGCAAAATCTTGAGTTGGTGAAAGTTTGAGCTCAACTGGTATGGTGGCTAAACTAGTAAATTGTAAATGCCTGACATGGTACTGTAAAAATCAATATTCTAAAGCTATAGATTTAAGATGTATAATATTCATCTACAATGGCTGAGTTCATGCAATAATAAAGGATGTAGATAACGTACCTCTTTATGGAAGGCATTTGGCTAATGAATATATTGTCTTATGATGCAACTCTCACAGCATTTAACAAAATGTTGGAAAGGACACATATTCACTTCAAGATTGCAACTACTGTCACATCACTCCGGTTAGCCTAGAAAACGTTACTCTAAATCCCCCAAGCCGAAGATACCTGGTTCTGCTTTAAGGCTGTAAAAAATAATTGTTGAATAGCAAAAAAAAGAAAATATGAGAGCTTAATTAGGCTTGTAATAAATATATTTAGTGATTAAGTATCAAACATTTTGAAATTCTCCTTTAGTCACGCTACTCACTACGTGACAGATAACAGCCTCCAGTTGAGGTTAATCAGTCTGCGGAGAAAGACAGTTTTGGTCAGAATAAATCTTGTAACTTTTGCTTCAAGCTTGTTTCTGTCGGGGAAGAATTGTTGAGCCTGCATAGGGTGAGGCTCTCAGGAATGTGACCTTTTATGTGAGCCTGTGACCTAAGGCAGTCCAGGGTGAGATAAGGGTTCAACAGATGGACCCATACGTGCCCTGACTGACCTTTTAAATGTTATTAATTGACTGGGTCCCATTAAGGGAGGATCACGGTGTCTCCCCTACGTCGTCTGGTACTTTTCCATACATTTCTCTTTCGGGGGGGGCTCTCCCGTGCTGAAACAGCACAAACCTCCCTGAAGTGTATAAAACCTCCTGTAGCTCCTCTGAGTGAGAAAGAACCATCTGCCCCTTTTCAGCTGAATTGTAGTCATTTGACTTCAGCATACTTCTGTACGACTTCTGTTGATGATTTCTGTATTCTTTTTCTATATTCTAGTTTGTAATAAATACTTAATCACAAACAAGTTTATGATACTTTTGATTTCTTACAAGGGCTAAATCCACAATTTCCACCACAGTTTCCGATACAAAGATTGTAACGGTAATGTGGATTATCGGAGAGAGAGTAGATTGCCGCTACTTGCTTCGGACACTTTGCTTTTATTGGTCAATATATTGTAAAGAATAAATTCAGGTAAAATATATTTTTAAAAGTTTGCTTGAGTCATATTTGTTCATGCAAACGAAAATCTAAATAGTCAGGAAACACCTGGAAGGCCACACAAAGCCTTCACTCCCATTCGCATCAATTATTCAGCCCACTCTAAATGTGGGACAAGAGGTCAGGTGAGATCCCCCCCCCCCCCATGCTGTGGACAATGCTGACTTGCCAGAAGGCTGCTGCTAATGATGATTATGATAGTGATGATGATCAGGCGCACGATAAGGTGTTATCATTGCAGACATGATTCATACTCATACAGAGAAACACTTATGCGTCCAGTTTACGTAGAATACCTCTGGGTATAGCTTGAGTTGGATATTGATCTCCCCTCAGCTACGAAACCAAGCCAATAAATGCTGCTCCCTGGTTCTGCACGTCATGATGGAGGATGAGATTAAAACCCCTTTGTAAAGATTACAGGTATAAGGACCCAAAAGCACAACTCAGAGGCAGAATCCCATCAAAAGTTCTTTACTGATACAGGCAGGGTCAAAACCGGGATAGCAGTTCAATGGGCAAACAAATCCAGAGGGGCAGGCAGGAAATCCGTAAACGGGGACAGGCAGGGTTCAGAAACAGAATTCGTGGTGAAGAGAAGGCAGGCTAGGTCAGGACGGGATATTAGTAATCGGAAAAACGCTGGAAAACTTGGCATGCACACAAGACAATCTGGCAGGGAACAAACAAATGTGACGGCCTTAAATAGTGAGTAGCTGATGAGGGGATGTGCTTCAGGAGTTCTCGCAAGAAGAACCAGGTGAGGGTAACGAGCTGATGATGTGGGAGGATCTGAAATGACAGGAGAGTTAGATAACATGCGGTGAAGATGAAATTAAACATGCAGTGAAGATGAAATTAAACTATGATGTGGTCTATTGTGTGACACTCTTTTTCAGTAGAAACTCAAGGATAAAGGTGATGTGAGGACTCGTACTGTTTTCAAGCAGCAAGTCCTACTGGACGTCAAGACAGTCCACTCTGAGTCCATGTTTCTTTCACTTTTACAAACAAAATATGTGAGGATTTATTTTAAATGTTTTATTCTTTTGCAGCTTGATGGACTTTTGTATCAATACATGTTAGAAGTAGCCGGTTGAAATGGTTTAATCCAATATTTGAAGGAATACTAATATTAGGAATATGAAATATGCACGTTGTCATCTTTTGCAGGGAGTTGGATGAGAAGATTAATGTCTAATGTTTCATTGTTTGTGCGGTAAATGTGAAGCTAAAGCCAGCAGCCAATGAGCTTAGCTCAACATAAAGAGAGGAAACAGGGGGAAACAGCTAGCCCTATCGGGCTCTGTCCAATCTATCCAATCAAAAAAGCATGTTTGTGCAAGTTTCTGTCTATGGTCACAGTTTCGAAGACTCTATTTGAAGGGAATAGTTTTTACTGCTTCAGTGTACATTAGTTGATCTGTTGCATAAGGAAGGAATTCAGAGCCCCCACCAATGTTTCAGAGCTTAGTGAGGTGTGACAGATGGTCGGGTTATATTGGATTACACAGCGGCCTCCCAGTTTACAGAAAAAATACTAATTGTGAGGCTCTGTCAATGGTCTTGAAAGGGTGATTTGTGGGGACTCTGGCTTTATGCTTCTCTTTTGCTCTCACATGGCTCTCGATTATTCAGAAAATTGACTTTTTAAGGATGACCGACATCCACATACATGTGCAGGGATGTTTGGGGTATTTTGCGGAAAGCTATAAGGAACCCTTTCATTTTTTTAAAAGGACGTACAAACAAATATTGTTGTATTTGTACAGGTTATGGGTGTATGCAGGGCCCTATAGTAGGTGGCCACACCTCTGCACCAAACACCATCAAATACATTGTGTCACTACAAAGCAACAGGGGCCAACACTTCTGCAGTAGATCGCTGGTTCACAGGTACTACATACTGACAGCAGCAAACTTTAACATCGGGTAAGAATGACATTTGGAACAGATACTTCTTTTCCCTGAATGACAAATCTCAATGACTGAGGTGTTCACTTGGCTTTTCATTTTGTGCAATAATCAGATAATCTCACATCCATTAGTGCTCGTTTTCAAATGCCACTAGTTTTTACGAGCATGGCTGTCAACTATAAGTTGTATAAAACCTTTCTAGCTTGGTTAAAGGCTCATCAAGATACAATCAGGTTTGTCTGCCTCCTGAATATATATTGTTTTTAAATCCCCTTATGAATCTAAAATGCCACCTGACGGTTTTGCTTGAACTTTGCTCCAAGATGAAATTGTATTGGAAATACTTGTGTTGGGAATGGCCTTACGTGGGGCATCATTTTTTGGGGGATGGCCTCACATGGGGCACCATTTTGTTGGGCACGGTGTAGTGGCAATGTGTTGGTCAATAGCTAGTGTGTAATTAAATCATTGATATCAATAGAATTATTAATAATTGCTAAGATAATTCACAAAATAAATAAATAATGGAGCACCATCTAATAACTAATAACCAAACTATAAATCTCAAGTCTCATAAAGTCTCATTAAGAGCAAGGAATTGAAGATTTTAGTTCGTATACTAGATATGTTTCCAGCCAGCATTACAGTAGACATATGCAACAAAGAAATCACAGAAAACTGCTCCTTAAAGTATAACAGGGTTTATTAACTTCCAACAGTACAAATCTGATCAATACCATTTGAAATGAACAAAAGCTATTATACAATATCCTAATATTACAAATTTAAAAAAAAGAATTAATTCATGCATGTGGAGGGGAAGTAGTGTGTGTGTCTGTGAGATAAGGAGGGGAGAGCTCAGGAAGGGAGCTAGCTAAGCTACCGACCACATTGCTGAGGTGTTGCTTGCAGGCTATGTTTGTACATCATGTGTGTTCCTCACATAGTTAAACCTCTGTTTGTAAGTAACA